ATGACTCCAAGATCCCTTTCTGCCTCCGTGCTCTCAAGAAGGGAGTTTCCCATCTTATAAGTGTGTTGCCAGTTACTACTGCCCAAGTGCAGCACCCTGCACTTGTCCATATTGAAACGCATCCTGTTTTTGTCAGCCCACCCTTGCAAACTATCCAGGTCTTTCTGCAGTCTTCCCCTCCCTACTAGCCTGCCCACCTCATCCCAGATTTTGGTATCATCAGCGAATTTGAACAGGTTGCTTTTCACCCCGTTGTCCAAATCGCTGATGAAGAAATTGAACAGTGCGGGCCCAAGGACCGAGCCCTGGGGGACCCCACTGCCCACTTCCCACCAGGTCGAATATGACCCGTCCACCACCACCCTCTGAGTACGACCCTTCAGCGAATTAGCAATCCATCTGACCATGTAGGCATCGATGCCACAGTCGCCTAGTTTTTTAACAAGGATCGGGTGAGAGACAGTGTCAAAGGCCTTGCTGAAGTCCAGAAAGACTACATCCACGGCAACACCTGCATCCAATGCTTTTGTGACCTGATCGTAAAAAGCAATCAGGTTGGTCTGACATGACCTGCCCCTAATGAAACCGTGCTGGTTGCCCCTCAGCATCACCCCTGATGCCGGCCCATCACAGATGTGCTCCTTGATGATCTTCTCAAAGAGTTTCCCCAGGATTGAGGTAAGACTGACGGGCCTATAGTTGCACGGGTCCTCCCTCCTCCCTTTCATAAAGATGGGGACCACATTGGCTATCTTCCAATCATCTGGCACCTGGCCCGAGCACCACGAGCGCTCGTAAAGCCATGCCAAGGGCTCTGTAATAACCCCTGCTAGCTCCCTCATTACCCTGGGGTGGAGAGCATCTGGACCTGCTGACTTGAACACGTCCAGCCCCTCCAGAAGCACTCTAACCCAATGTGATTGGTGTCTTATGGATTTTAAGTACGAGTTTTTGGTAATATATTTACTGGACCCACTGTATAATTAGGAAAAATGTTGGATAGGTTTCAGGCACAGAAAACTATGTAGTTGGTCTAATAAAAGATATTAGCAATAAAATCTGGCTTCTCACGTATTCTCTAGACCAACACTGCTAAACAACTCTCCAACTCAATCACAAAGATTTTAGGTGTTTTTTCTCAATGACTCAATCTTTATCATGATATGTTTTTGATTGTGTGTACAAGCAACAGATACTAGGTTTCAAGGAGACTCCATCACTAAAATAAGAGTAAAATATTAGGAGTGGGTAGCTGCTGAGGCAGAAAGAGAACTGAGATGGGAAAGGGAGAATAACAGAGATTCCCTGGTTACTCTTTCCTGTGGTTCCAACTCAGGAATCAAACTCTTTAAACTCAAATTAATTTTAAACTTTCACACTCCTCTAGGCACAGAATGTAATTGTCTGGTTGAAGCAGAAGGCTAGAAAACCTGGGCTACTTCCTGCCACTCCAGCCTTACCACTATTTCACTGTGTCACAAGGTAGGAAACCACTTACTTTCTGTATGTCCTCATTACTGATCTCATTACTGACCTTAGAAAGCCTTTTGTGAGGTTTCATTAATATATATACAAACAAAATGAACTATGTGACACTTTTAAACTGTATATAATATTTCGAACATGACTGTAACTGAGTCCCGGTTCCGACTCTGTTACTTAGAAGAGTAACAGCTGAGGAGTAGCACAGTGGGGAAACAGGAAATACCTGACCCCAGGGAACCAGTAGGCACCCAGAAGGAAGAATAAGAGGGAGAGAAGATTGCCCAGAGTTGCCTGCGGGCATGGACTAAGTTGGAAGACGGACCAAAGAGGTTGCTCAGGAGAGACTAAGAAGCTCTGACAGGGGCAGAGTCTGCTATCCCCTCTGAAGACAAGAAACTGGAATCACTACGGCTTGACAGATGGCTATATACCTGAAGAACCTGCTCCACTGGTGAGTCACGGGGATGCAGGAGGGAAGGGGTGACAGATGGCGGTCCGGAGGTGATCGAGATTAGCAGAGAAAGAGAGAGAGAAAAGAGAGATAAAAACGGAGCTAGCGGAGAGTTCCGGAGAAAGATGCTCCATTTGTGAGCTCAAGCCGGGGCCAGGGGGAATCCCCGGTTCCTGTGTTAATTGACCGCTAATAGAATAAGTAGTGGCAGACGGTCAATTAACTGCTAACCTACAGTCTGTATCTAACCTAAGTAATTGCTGGGTGGCTCCTGGTAATTGGCCCTCGGGGCAGGCATTCAGGGTCAAAGTAAAACTGCTGTAAGCAATAAAAAGGCTCGTTAACCTTAGATCGAGCCAGCGTGTTTCTTCCCGCGGGTACTGGCATATAAAATCTCTTCCTCCCCAGAAATTATTAAAGATCGAAGTCGTGGCAGGCGGGAATTGTGGGAAAAGCCAGTCCCAAGGGCAGACATGCTAACAATGACAATAAAGTAAAAGAATATTTAAGTTGAATAGTGAAGCGTTTAAAGCTTAAAAAGCCCTGGCTGAAGCAACCCTTAAAATTTTAATCCCACTTCCTCATAGCTGCGTGACTATACAGTCTTTTGTAGTGAGACCACACACTGTCATTTCTGTAGGAGGCTTGTCCAGTGCAGGGCAGAGTGCCTGGTTAGGCACAAAAGGAGCGGTAAAACAGAACACATGCTATGCCAAGAAAGAATCCCTGCACACTAAACTTCCCAGTGAGCTTTGTCTAAAGTTGAAAAGCAGAAGTTAAACAGAAAGACTTATATCATGTTCCTATAACCTCTGATCTGGCCCCCCTGCACTGCCAAAGGTTTACAAAGAGGCCAAATATGCTCTGAAAACTAAGGACCCCCCATGAGTTGGGGAGGGTTTGGAAAGTGTAGGGCCACTATAAAAACATAGGGGTTGTGCCAGGTACAGGAGGGGGTGACTACAGAGCAGTCCTCTGGTGACATCCAGTTTGGAGAGCAGCAGTCCCTCTAATCTACTCCTAGGACCAAAGCCCTTGCAAAATATGCCCCTAAATCATGGAACTGCCAGTTCCTCTTAGGAGTCTGCCCCATCCTCTTTTGAAAGTGATAGACAATGTCTAATCCTAATCTAATCTAATGTCCAAGAAAACAATGTCTGCCATAACACTTACTGTTCATTTAGTATTTAGTATTCATTTGGTATTTAGCACATCAAAAGACAGCCTGCAGTTGCAAAAACATCCCCAGGCCCAACAGTCAATTTCTGGCAGCAGGGAATTCTAAAGCAGCAAATTGCTTTGCTGTAGCTGGAGGCACAGGAGCATACACTGTACTGCAAGTCAGGAAAAGAGACAGACCTACTGGCTAATATCAGAATTGCCACTTGGGTAAGAAGGTTAAATCCAGAAACCAACACCTACACACAAACCTTCAAGAAGAAAAGCTTGCTGTCATGTTTCCTGTGCTGAGAGAAGCTTGTAAAACTAGGAGGGCAGTGTGTACTTTACACTCTTCTAAATGTGACTCCTCTGGGGAACAGCGAGAAAAGATAAGAGCGGAAAACTAAATTTGAAAACCAATAAGTGATGTTTAGAAGCAACAAAAAGTTGCAATTTATTAAGAATAAACAAACAACCCAAAGAACTTTATCGAATTCACAGCATTTAAAAACTTGAATGACCTGTATTTCTTTCCAAAATAGTTTCTCTCTGTCGTAGAACCCCCCAAAGTCCAGGTACTGACGAAGGAGCTCAATAGGAGGCTGAGACCCATAACGATCCAATTTAGGCATGTTTAGGTCATCCACAAAAATAATAACTCGTTTGTTTCCTGGTGCACCTAGGAAATAAAAATAATTCAATTAATAAGCATATAAAACAGTGCTAGTACTTTCCATTTATGAGATTAAAATTAGAGGTATGAAAATCAACAGTTAGACTTGTTATACTTAAGAGACTAGCTGGGTCCCAAATGGACAACACTAGCTTTATTCTGCAGTGAAATAATGTGATATTTCATGCACTTCATTCACATGTAAGCATCCACTATACTCTGTAACTACACTGGAATCTACAACCTGAACTCAGAGACATTACTTTGTCTTACATAAATAGCACTTGGCAGGCTTTACATAATGCAGAAGTACCTAATCTGGATCAGTTTGTGTATTTAAGTGTAATTGTGACAAAGCAGATATTTGAGCTGTGGATGATGACATCTGGAAACTGAAAGGCAGTGTGTTGTGTAGTGGGAAGTCTCTAATTGTGCTTGGTTATTACAAAGCTTTAGAAAAAAGGAAGAGAACTGAGGACACCACAGATACCGCTATTGAGGTCCTTCACTTTTATTGAGTGTGTCAAATTGGAATTTGATAAAATTTTACCTTAAGGGCATCTATATGTGTGCTCCAGTATGGAAAGGGAGAAGGGGAGATTTAATTAGAGTGACTTTGAGAACCACTCTAATTAAAGCACCCTCAGTATCACAGGTACTCAGCATCCTACACTTCAAAATGGTGGGAGGGACGTTTGAACTAAACAAGCTCTAGCTCAACAAGCTCTAGTTCAAACACCCACACCACCATTTTGAAGTACAAGGATGCTGAATAGATGTGATAAGGAGGCTCCTGGAGTGTATTAAGTAATATGCTCCAGGCAGACTCCATTAATTGAGTCTGCTCTGATGTGTGCTAATTAGTACACATTGGAACATATGTCTGGCATGTGTATAGGGGCTCTAAGTTTTTAGTATGGAAATGTTACATGTATTACTCAATAAGCTGTTTGTAAATAGTAACTCTTATATTTAAGGCAGGGCAGGATAAACCCTAGGGTGGTGGTCCAGCTTACCTTTAACCTTTTCTTTCTTAAGGCACTTAATATGGGAGCATCCATGCATTAAAGGGTGTTAAATGGTGTTAAATACCCTCTAAACATCTTAAAGTTATGCCACTTTGGGCAACGGTTATCTTTGAGATGTTCTACCTAGCTCAAGCTAGGGTATCGTTAGTCTGTTCCAAGAAGATAAAGCAACCAATGTGCAGTCACACAGTGTCCCAGGATGCATGGCTGCCAGCCCCTGTACCCCTGACAAACTTTCCATCCTCCCAAGCTCTACTGGCCAGGAGGAAGTACTGGCCCCAAGACAATACCCCCACCTGACCCCAGCCGGCATGATCGCAGCCCACTTGGCACCAAGTACCCCAGGAGACCTGATCTGGGACTGTGTGCCAGGAGCCAGGAATGCAGCCCTCCCCTCAAAGGCCTAAGCCTTTGTCCCACCTCTGGGCAGCTCTCCCCTAGCCAGGAAAATCTGGGGTGGGAGAAAGGGGGCTGTGGCTTCCTTCCCCAGCCTCCCACTTTCCTAGGTGGGGAAGGGGAGAAAGGGCTGCCTAACTGCGCTTAAACCCTGGCTCCTGGCTCTGGCTCTACCTCTGCTCACCAGGCCCTCCCGTGGCAAGGTAAAGTTGTGCATGTCAGAGCGGGCATTAAGACTTAACCTTCAACCACTCTGAAACTGCTCCAACTTCAACACTGCTCAACATTCCACGGATTTAGAACGGTTTAAAGGTAACCTGTAACAGCACCCTTACAGACCAAATGAAAAAGTTAGCCTCTAAGGTGCACCGTTTTTCCTTCTGCTTGACTTCTAACATAGCTCTCTATTATAAAGAAGTATCCTTTCACACTGCCTAATATAACAATAGTTATGTTAAAATAGATTTTAAATCTCTCATACTTCAATACTGGCCTCAAGTGTAAAACTGAAAGAACTGCATTTGTATAATAATAAAATTGAAATTTTTCTTGCTGTGTTGAATTTAGCAGTGAGTTTTCTTTGAAGCTAGCCCTCATGGTCACCATATTTTGAAATAATTAAAATACTATACAAAATACTTTACAATTATTGAAATTTGAATAAGGGAATACAGAATTAAAATCAATACCTAAAATATTTTTCCTTTTCTTTTCTAATTTGGACTCAATAATCTCTTGTGTTCTTGCAGATGATGTCTGAGCGGAGAAGTTTAGGTAAATGGGCACATAGCCTGCTTCTTCTTGTATTCGGTTGAGTAGTCCCCTTGCAACTACAGACTTAAATTAAAAGATGTAAAAAGAGTAATAATAACTGCAAAGTAAATGTAGCTGTATGCACACATCCATATGATTCTATTACACAATGATTTTGGTAAATCACACATTTGAAGAGCACATAACGTAACTAAGTAAAAAATGTGGAACAAACAGCTAAACAAAGGGCCAGATCCTTCTTTTTCTCCTGGCCTTGCCTTCCCTTTGCTCCAGACACCCAGTTGGTCCCATCCCCCCGCCATCCAAAGGAGCAACTTGAGCACCCTTGTAATCAATTCTCAAGTTACAGGAACATGGGAGCCATGCCTGTTTCCCATGAAGTATCTTCTCTGCCTCTCTGCTGCTTTGGGACAAAGGAATCATCCTACTAGATCATATCAAGTTCCACTGTCCTTCTAGCTCAGTCGCCATTCTCTGATAACCACTATTACTAGCTGATTCAGTGGAAGCTATCCTGCAGTAGCCAGTTAAGGGATGACTTGCCAAAGTAAAGTGTCCTCCTAATACTTTCTCTTAGCTCCCAATAATTTATAGGGTGGATTTTATTTTTATTATTCTCCATCTTCCATCCTGGTGCATCCTAACATCCTGTTTATGTTTTTATGGCTACTACAAAATGAGCTATGCAGAATTCTGCCAAGTCCCCTTTCCTGAGTTTCAGTACCAACTGGAAGTGAGCATGGCATACAAGTAATTGAGATTATTTTCTCCAGTGGAAATTACTTTGTATTTGTCAACATTAAATTCCATCTCTCATCACCAGCGATCCAGGTTTTCCGTTTGCAATAGAAAAATGCGGTAAAACCTAGATTTTCTCATTTTAAGGAGAAAAACCTGGGTTTTCTCTTTTCAAGAAGAAAAACACAGGGAATTGTGGGTTTTCCCCGCCGGCTGGCAGAGTTCCAGCCTGCAAGGGGCTGGGGAAAGTGGGAGGAGGGTGATCAGACAGGGGGCACCATGTGCATGTGTGAGCATACACATGCACATGGCAGCCAGAAGCGCAGCCCCTGCAGGCAAGTCTGTGGCAGGTTGGGGACTGAGGCCATCATAGGGAGGTGGGGAGGGAGTTAGGCAAGGCTGGGGACGAGGGTGCTGCGCAGCCTGGGTGGTATGTGGGGGTAGGGATTCAGAATGCACGGCCGCAGGGCCCGGGCAGGAATGGGGCCACGGACAGCTCATCCAGAGGGCAGTGGGTGGGTCTGGCACCCCGCCTCTGTGCACACTTCTGTGGGGGGAGGAATGGGAGGCATGCGCCCCCCAGATTTGTGCATGGGGCAGGGGCAGGCTATCTATTGCGGGCTTGGGCTCCATGCCCTGCTGCCTTCGCCCCAGGGCCCCTGTAACCCAGTGGGCAAGACCCAGTGTGACAGGGCAGAGTGGGGAGAAGAACCTCAATGCTGCTGCTGTGAGCCCCACACTGTCATGGTGAAGCACCCCCTGCACTCCCAGCAGCAGTGAGGGGAACAACTATGCCCTGACATACCTGCTGCTGCTGGGTGGCCACGGGGCATTTCGCCATGGCAGCACGGGGCTCATGGTGGTGGCATCAAGCTTCTGCACCTGCTGTGCCCTGCCACACTGGGTCTCATCTGCCGGGCTGCGGGGGCCTTTGGGGGCATGGCAGCAGGGAGGGGAGTTTGACCTCACAGCGGGCAGCATGCATCCCCTACACCTCATCCCAATGGGTTTGATATGACTTGGGCCGTTCTGCCCATGGGGAAAAGGGCCAGGCTCTGCTCTACCGCAGCAACCACCACCTCCCACAAGTGGCAGCCAGGGCTTGAGGGCTGCTGAGGGGCAGGGGGCTTCAGACCCAGGTCCCTGGCCCCAAAGCACCACAAAATTTTGCGTGTGTGTGCATTTACACCGAGCACCACAAAGCAGCACAAGTGGGGCAGCCGCATCTGGACGTGCATTCTAGTGAGCAAAGGGGGCAGGGGGAGCTCTGATTTTCCATGATAAAAAATCCAAAATCAAACACCAAAATGTACAGGTATTTAGAATTCATTTTATTATAGCAATTGAGGCACTGGTAGGCTTCCAAATTGCTTTAAAATAGTAAATATATCAGTAAAACATTCTGTTCAACTAATACCTATATATATATATATAGTGGTGGTTCATTTTAATCACAGAAAAAAATGGATTTGGGGTTTTTTTTAACCAGAGAATGTGCTATTTGAAAACAGAGAAAACCAGGATCCCTGATCATCACATTACTATCATGTAGGCTGCTAGTTTATGTCCCACTGAAGCTCCCTAATTTCTCTGGTCCTGACTAATGTGAATAATTTCATATCATCTGCAAATCTGGTCAATTCCTTTCCCCCAAGTTTTAAAGATCATTAACAAACACATTCAAAACTAGAAGACCTAATATGGAACCTTGAAGCACTCCATCATTATCCTTTGCCATAATAAAATTGATTGTTTATTTCTACTCCTAGTTTTCTGTCTCTCAGCTGCATTATCATAGTTTGGTTATGTCAGCACTGTGGCTCCAGCTCACAGACATATCTGAATTAGTTTTAGATTACCCAGCTTTACATTAGCTAACTGGATACTGCTGGCAGGGTAACCACAGCAGTACAAAACTTAGTGTGAATTGCAGAACCCACCTGAGAAGCTGGGTAAATACTTGGTTGGTTAGCCTACACTGAGTTCGTGGGAGAAGGACTCGAACTAGCAATTTCAAAGTTAACTGAGGCTTCTATGAGTGGCTGCAGTGTAGATAGTGTATGTCATCACTGTTACCAGAAAAATGTAGGTCCAGGATGAGTCTCTCTCCAACATCTCTTGCCATGAAAACTGATACAAACTTCCTTGACTCAGGGACTCACTTATCTACCAGATGCTGCAACACCTTGCTTCCCACTCAATAGTTCCCATAGTCATATCCCAGTTCCCTCTTCCTCTCAGTAATATCTACCCTCCTTTCAAATTCCCCCTGCCCTCACCACCCCCAATAACCTTGTCCTAATGAATACTAAATGATAGCCAGGCAAAACTAGGCAGTATACACCTCAGGAGTATTTCTATGCCTTGATGTCTGAATGCAAGTCAGTACATTTTGAAAACCACACCTGATCAATTCCAAAGTTTTAGAGAATGTTCTCAGTATCAAGGGGCACAAACCTATTGATTCAGGTGGAATCAAATAATGGGAGAAACCTAACTGCCAGCAAAATCACCATTTAGGTAATCAAGGTACAGGGATGAAGCAGTGGTCCCAGGCTTAGGAGAATGAGGATAGTGTCAGGGTTGCTGGCCCTTTCATCCCATTCTTGACTTGCTTCCCCCTCAGCTAGGTCCCTTGCCAGCACTCTGGGTCAGGTGAAGCCCACTTAAGGTGAACCCATTTTCTATACCCTCCCAAATGACCCTCCTCTGCATCTGGTATAAACCCTACTGATTTTGGAAAAATCTCAAGCAGTGAAAACACTAAATTTCTGTGGAGATACACTTTTCAAGTTTTCTGATTTTCACTAGAATCAAGGTTCTGCTGGGACGGTGAGGGGATCTAGTCCGATGGCTCTGAAGGCCTGATGGAGTATACAGACTGATTTACACAAGCAGCGTTGGGTATGACTGCGCTGCACAATCCACTTTGTGCTTTGCATTGTACAGTGGACATACTTTAGATCCTTACCTTGCCCACACCAGTGATCCCTGTGAAGAGTACAGAATGTCTGACAGCTAACAGTTTTTCCAGTAGGTAGCCATAACGCACTGTATCTGTAGTTGGAACAAGCATTTCAAAAAATGGTACTTGTCTGCTATATTTGAAAGTCGGTGTAATCCTCTCCCAGGGATCAAGTCGCTTGCTATCAAAATCCATGTATACACTCCACAAATCACCAGAGCTTGGAAGCTACGGAGACAAAACATTCCTAAATCATGCTTAACAACATTTACATCTTAAAAATATAGTGCAACCAAAGATCTTTCAATCCTTTCAGATATTTGCACTTTCCAGAGACACTTTCTGACAAACTGAATTCCCATCTCTTCCATACTGGGCGCATCTACACCTGCCCCTGACTGTGCATTTGGTACTGCACAGTCATTTAGTACTTGCTTTAGTACTAAATGCACATTTGGTACTGCACATTTGGTACTGTGCAGTCCCAGTGGCGCATGGTTATTTTTAGATTCTATGCTGCCATAGTGACAAGCTACAGTGATGTAGTTTGTCACTATGGCAACGTAGTGTCGGCATCATGTTTGTGCCCATCGATGCTACGTCACTGTAGTGATGAGCTACGTCACTGTAGCTCATTGCTACAGCAACGTAGCGTCTCATGTAGATGTGCGCACTGTTCCTCTATTAGGCTGTTCCCCGCACAGAATTCAGAATGACATACTTAAATTATTGTGGTGGCTCTTTGTAATAGATGGCATACAAACATCATGCCCATCAGGCTTAATGCAAAAATGGCACTAGTGTGAAAATCATTAGATCAATCAAATGGCTCCAAAGTAGAAAGCTTGCTATTAACCTGACCACAGCTTAGCCTGATGTCAGCTGACGTAAGCCATGCAGAGTCTCAACAAAGCACTCAAATAGTGAATATCATCTGCTGGCAGCACAGATGCCTCTGCACAGGGATAATCTGTGGAAATGGCTCCTGAAATGGTCCCTTCACATTTGGAGCACCCATCAACATGTGTTTGGCCCATTGCCTCCTATCCATGACTCTGAGAGAATGTTTCAGTGCTGGCAAGGGACTTGCTTAGTGAACCCTTCCAGGATAAATCTTCAATTTTAATTGCTTTACAAAATGTCCCCGAGAGAAGGAATGAGGAGGAAGTAGAGCACCTTACAGAATGCTCCAAACTGGCTTCAAAAGCTAGGAAGTGAAATGGAAGGGAGGAGACAGGTGAGTCAGCACTCTACTCCAAAGGCTGCAGCATTTCAAAAGGGCAAATGCTACAGCCCTTTTGGAGATGCCCAAGGGCCAGATTTACCACAGAGGATTTTGACCCTGCATTGCAATATGAAGCTTTCAGGGATTTTGCTGTTTAATGAAAGTCACCACCTTAAATTTGACAGCTAGGCTCTCTCTTAAGTGCCTAAGAATGGCGTCCACAAAAACAAGCAAGCTGAGCAAGAAACTGCCTATGATAACCAGCAGAAAATGCCAAGGAGAGCACTGCAGCTTCTCTCTGTAGCTTCTCTCACTGCCAGCACCAGCACCAAGGCCAGGGCTGCTGCCTCCATCCTGCTCTGCAGCCTGCACTGCCTGGCTCTCCCAGCCCCAGCCCCATAGCCAGTGAGTGCAGAGCGAGGAGCCACAGCCCTGCCCCTGCCCTCCCAGTGGATTTCAGAATGTAGGCAGTGCAATACTGATCATAATTAATGAGGTTTTTTTAATTGTATGAATTTCTCTTTAATTAGATAAAAGTGTCAAGGGGGTCCTACACAGGCTGATTTGTCCTGGGCCCTACATCCTCCTCAGGTTGGCCCTGGTGGTAGATATGTGTTCAAATACCAAATCAGGCAAAGGACAAATTTAAACCCAAGTCTCCTACATCCTAACTGAGTGCTTTAGCCATTGGCCTATTTGGCATAAGGGGGATAGTATCTTCTCTTCCTGGCTGCCTTCTGTGTGTGTAGGGGGGTGGAGGAGTGGTGGGTTCAAAACATCGTTACTACATTGGGCCCTGTAGGTGAGATAAGTGATGAAATCAGTGTGTGCATCTTCATTCTGAATCATCATTTATACTTGTACAGCATGATTGCAAAGTCAGGAAAATGCTGCTCTTTTCATTTGGCACAACTTTGTATTCGGCGTGGGTGAAAATGACTGTGCAAGGGTCAAGGCAATGAAGAATTAAGCTACTATGTCTTTAAAAGTACCATGGGATATTTCAGGTCCACAACTGATAAGACTTTTGGTTTACATCAGAAAAAGAACAATTCTTTGTTACATTACTGTTTTTATAAACACAGTATTGTAAATGCTCACAAGTCAACTATTTCTTTACCTTGGCATCAGGATTATCCTCAAACTGTTGTCTTAAAAATGTATCAAAAGCATCCCAGTTGTTTTCAGTTAAATTTCCACCCAGTGACCACAATAAGCAGAAAGCAAAAGTCTGGCAGACTATAGTATTTAATTTTAATTGCTCCTGGAAGGAAAAGACAAGACTGTTAAAAAAATTTCTTTTGTGCATTCCTTTTCTGTTCAGTAATATCTCGAAAAAAAACTTATGTGGTCTGAAATGTGAATTGGCTCCTAACAACAGAATGCATGAAGAGTGAATGAAGCCACTTCTTAATACAAGGGGAATTGAATTAAAAAATGGACATGGACATAACATCCAAGCCTACGCACAGATGATGCCCAAGCTGCCTTTTAGTGGACTGCACTTTGGTTATCAGCATGCACTTGTGAAGGAATGTTTGGAGTGCTGTAGCAAGTAGCAACTGACTCCTTTTCTTTCACTCTTATCACAAATTGCTGCTCTTTAGACTGAAAAAGCAGATGTTTAAGAATAGAGTAAGCATATTTAGAACTAACATTCTTCAATAGTAAAATCCACAGGAAAGAACAGAGGCCCAACCACCTCGGTAAACGTCAGTGGACTGAGTTTCCAATTCATTCTTCCCTCAGCACATGTGCAGATGCACCTACTGTAAAGCAAATGAACAGGCTGAAGTTGACTCTAGGAAAGAAATTAGCACACTGCTTATACACAACTTAAACTGCCCCAAAGACAGCATAAGTCACGCACACAAGATCTGTATTGGCACTCAGGCCAAGAATAAATAGTTCAGGGGATTGTCTCAGCAAGCAAATTGTGTTTGTTAGTAAAATATATATTAAAATCTTACAGATGAATTAAAAGTTGGCAATTCAATCGCAGGTTCTAATCATATAATAAACTGTTTCCTGTTTTCTGATAAAGACTTTTCATCCTGCTTAAATACAGGTTTAGAAATGTCTGAAATTATGCTCTTACATTTCTATATCCTGCTAACACTATCAACACCTGCTTTTTTACTTTTAGATGCATTTTAAATGCAAATTGCTATTTGCTCTGGTTGAAACTGCTTCTCTCCATGTTAGTTTTCAGAATGTTTCACTGAGCAGAAAGGCTTCAGTGTTACTCTAAATAAATTATGCCTTTGGAATATCAGTCATGTATATCAAGGCTGGTCAACTGGTGGCTACCAGCAGCTCCCAACAGATTAACCTGTGGCCTCTGGGCTTCTGGTCCAGGCACCACTCTCTCCATCACTCTGCTGCTTTTGCTGCTGGGGTCTCCAGGCTCCCACTCACTCCTCAAGTTCCTACTGCCTACCCCCATCCTTGGGGGTGGGGTGGTACAGTGCAGCCCGTGGACAGGGAACTGTATATCAGAATTGTGAGTAAATGTTTTCATACACTGACATTTCCCTCACCCCCCTGCTTTACTGTAGCAAGTTAAAGGGTGCCATGAACGGTGTGTGCCCCTGGCACCTGGCGAGGCATGGCTGCACGGGCAGTGGCGGGAGCACGGTGGCGATGGCAGCATGGCAGCAGTGAACAAGGAGCTCCCGCAGATGACACCAGCACTGTTGGCAGTGGAGGGTGGGGGTGGCGAGCGCCAACCAGGGGTCGATGACCACCCACAGGCACCGCTGGCAGCATCGGCGGTGGCCAGTGGGGATTGCTGACCGCCCGCAGGCGCCCGCAGCCGCTGCCGGTGGTGTCAGCAGTGGGGTGGCAAGTGGTGACCACCCACAGACACCGCTGACAGTGTTGGCAACGCCTTTTTGCAGGGGGTGCACTGCTATGCTCAGGGGGTGCACGTGCACCTGCATGCACCCCCTATGCGTCACCCCTGAAGGGTGCTTTTGATTTTCCAAGTATTATGCCAAGTAGTTGTGCGTGAGTGTTGTTCCTGAATTTTTGCGAATAGATTCAACAAACCCTTGTCTAGGATGGCTTAGATAGGGATGATTCTGCCTTGATCAGGAAGTTGGACTAAATGACCTCCTGAGGTCCCTTCCACCCACACTTTTCTATAATTCTACCTTAAGTGCCTTATATAGGAGTACATAAATATTTATACCATTTTAAGATCAGGACCTCCTTTTCCAAGTAGCAGAGACTCCAGTAAACAACACAGGGTAGAAACTTTGCTGATATCCACTTGTGGAATAGCTTGTGAGCACTTTTTATTGACGAATTTTAGAGTATCTTCAACATACCGACAAAATAGATTAAACAAATACTCTTTTGTGTCTTCATTTAACTAAAATTAAAACAACATTTTTGTTAATAATACACTGCTTTTTAAACACAACACATTTCATAACAGCAATCTCTAAAGCATCCTGAACATACACAATATATTGATAAACTTTGCACGTGTAGACACACACACACACACACACACACACAGATATTACAAGCATGCAATTAAGGGATTATACTTGTAAGACTACTTCTGCAACTCTAATTCAAATGAGGAATCTTAATTTACATCAGCAGTCCCATAAAGACTGCACTGAAATGTCTCAAAACTCAGAAATTCTGTGAATTATGAAACATCATAACCAGAAGGAAATATGATTACATCCTGCTTACCACCAAATAACTTTGAGGTAAGCAGACTATTCCAACTTTTCTCTGAGCCTAACCTGCATAAAATGAACTGTGCCAAACAGGAGATTTTACCACATGTTTACATCTCCTATGAAATATGAATTTTCATTTCTACCTGGGAGAACTTTTACAATCATTTCTCCTATGCCTGAAGAAGGGTGCTTGTACCCAAAAGCTTGCAATTAAAGATTTTTTTTGCAAAAATCTAGTTAGTCTAATAAAAGATATCACCTCTACCATGAGTTCTGATTCCTTCAAAACTCAGAAGTGCTCAGATGTATGCTTTGTATATTTGTAAATATATTCTGTTCATGTTAATGCATTCCATAACATAATTTATTATATTGAATAGTTCATTAGAATTTATTTCCTTCAATATTTACTAAATAACTTCTTGTCAATAAGTTATTTCAGGGGAGTTTGGAAAAAGTGTCACACCTTTATGTAAGCATCATTTTTTCTGTTACCTACTTTATTTGCAAGAGTTGCTATCCAAGTCTTTACATACGGTATCCACTTCAGTTCCTCTGGGTCAATGTATACCATTCCACATCGGCTAACGGTTGCAGGGGAGGCAACTTTTAGATCCTGTACCTGAAATGTATGGATACTGCACATTAAACACCATCCACCACAGTTAAAATGCACATAATGGTTCTAGTTCCCTTCACCCTGATCTGACTTGTGGGAAGACATTCAAGTATATGAGCTATTCACTTCCTTATTTGGAGGTAACTTTTATTCAAGTTAGCTTCTTTAAATGTCATCCTTATTCTCTGGTTTCTTCTCACCAGTTAGAATTTAAACAAAAATGCATAGCAGCTACAAAAAATATTCTTCTTTGGCATCCTGACTCTCCTGTATGGATTCAGAGGGAATAAATCACAGACATATTCACACAGCAAAGAACTATACCATCATCTCTACCAAGAAACTGATTTGCATTAATAAACAGGTCAGCTAGTGAAATATTTGGAAACTGTGGAAAAACTATATGGACAATTTCAATATAGAAAATGAATTCTCTCTCTGATATGAAAATACTCAGAAGTATATTTCATTTTATTCTTTACAAAAGAGCAATCTTTTATAGAGCAGTTAGAGAAACACAAGCACTTCATAAATCCCATGTCAAATCTGAGAGAAAACCAGCACATTATTTCTTGAATACATATGGGTCACTTCTAATTTGGAACATCCAAAGCAGTATTTTAGCTGATGTTATTTTTATTTAATTATAGCTTTCAGAGATCGCAAACAATACTATTCTGGGCTTAATACAATACCACTTAAGTAAGACTATGTAAATGGTAATTTACTACAGTAGGTAGAACCCTATGCCAATGATCATATTCAGGTATCAGGATGCAGATGTTTTTGGGTTTGTTTGTTTTTTTACCTATAACAAGGTTATTCATGTTTTACTAACTTTAGTCAGTCACTTCCATGACTAAATCCTTCTTCTTAAAATTGTCAGGTTAAATACTAATCCCAGGAGAGATACAGAAGCTCTGCATCAGGTAGAAAATGTTTAGCTGTACTAATGATAAAGAAGGACATGAAAATGAGTGGGATTTCAAAGGAAGTGGGGGGAAAAGTTGGGTGAGCTAATAGTAATTATTAGGTAATGGTGTGACATTACAGAAAGAGAAAGGATTTAGACAAGATATTAAAAACAATTTCAGACAGTGAAATTTGGTAGGAACCTCTCTGGTTTTCTTTCTGAGATCCAGGAATAATATAACTCTCTCAGAAAGGCAAATCTATTTCTGCATAATAAAGTTAGGTGAATAGATGTCCAGTGGAGAGAAAAAGGATAAACCACAACAAATGTGGTTGGACTTCCCCGGACAGCACTCTAGCCAGGATACCACAGGTCATCCATCATCCATTCCCTTTTCTGGCACTTCTTGTGAAGCTCAGCCACTAATATAGTCATTGGAAAAAATGGGTGCAGGAAGGAAACTTCTCCCTCACTGGGAATAGGGCCCCTAACTAGCACCTAGGGTCCCTTCCCTTCCAGGTCAGCAGCCACCTTACTGAGACACACATCCTGTGGCTTTGTCCCTTCCTCCTGGCTCCACATATTTCTCCACATACCCGCTTTCATAGGTGCCCGGGGGGGACAGCTTCAAAAGGAACACTAGAGAAAAGGACTGAATAATGGGTGACACTGAATAATGAATGGCGAAAGGAGTGAATAACGGGTCCCAGTTTGGATAGCGGTTCATGTTGGGACCGGAGAGCGGGCAGAAGGGAGCTACCTCTCACCTGCAGTGCACCACATGTTCATGGAGAACCTGGTGCTAAATCACTTGTAGATGACCTGATTCTGCATCAGGGTTTTTTAATTTATAAATTTATTTTTGCAACCTCAGGAAGCTCCAATGGCTTTGGGCAGATGAGTGCCTGAGGAGGGTAGTGGAACCTTGGTGAAAGAAATGCCATCAAAAGGCAAATGAGCATAATCACTCAGTGATTTTGCCAGCGGCATCCAAGCAGGACAGGATGTGGCTGGCAAGCAATCTAGGAGTGGAACCCCAAAAGGCAAGCAAATGGAAGACCTCCTCTGCACTGGTGACTCCTGCATTGTAGCTGGTTCCAAACATATCAACTCCCACCTTTCCTTTGGACCAAACCAGTGTAGTCGAGAGGTGGATGCTAATACACAGGCAAAGCAATATTTCCATATCAACCATCCAGGCTGTTGCAGCCATACCACATGGAGAGGTGTCCATCTACTCCATCTTTGCTGGCAGCAAGGACACAACATGGAAGGTGGCAGTTACAGGTTATAAGCTTTCACTTGACTGGCGTACAGGAGGGCACCATGGGTCACCTTTGACAGTGGGAGGAATCATCGTGTTTCACTGGTCAGCTGCCACCCACCATAATGCCAGGCAGCCCCCAGACAGGTGCTGACCCACCAGAGTCTGTCTGTCTCATTGGGTTCATGGGGCTAGACCAAGAACCAAAAAGCAGGCTGAAACCTTGCGCCTGGCAAAAACAAGAAACCAAGAACTTTCTGGCCTGGAAGCTGGAACGTCAGGACCATGTGTCCTGGTCTGACAGAATATGACAAGCTACAGTACACAAGCAGTAGAGGTGCACCGATACATCAGTCTGATATTGGATCGGCACCAATATAAAGAAAATTGAGTGCATCGGAAATTGGCCTGATGTGGCTGAAAATTTAGCCATGCATATGCGCAGTCGCAGTGCAGAATACAGGCAGCAAGGAGCAGAGCCTGGCAAGGAGCAGAGCCTTGGAGAGCTGCATGGAGCTGGTAAGTCTGTTGTAGTGGAAGGGGTGGGAGGAGGGATGGGGTGTGGGTGGGCAAATCACCGCCCCCTGCAGTGAGCGAGGGAGTGGGGCTTGGGCAGGCACTGCCAAGCCGGGGTGCTGAGCAAGACAGCTGCAGCTTGTCTGGGGGGTGTGGGGATGGGGGTGGCTCCCACCAGTGTGCGTACCCTGGGAGGGCATGTGCCCCCTGGATCTGCATGGGGCAAGGTGGGCTGTAGCTGTGGCAGGCTGTGCTCAGGGCAAGTGGTGGCAGCGCTGGGAAAGGGACTACAGGCAGGGCTGCACCCACCCCAGATTTCACCATAACTCCCCACCAACCCCTCCTCCCAGCACCTGCCCCAAGCACAGCCTGGACCAGCCCCGCCACGAAAAGCCTGGCAAAGCCCCTGCCCCAGCCCACAGCTGCAGCCTGCCCTGCCCTGCCCCACACAGATCCTGGGGCACACCCCTCCCACCCCATGCTCTTCCAAGGTGCACGGAGTGGCAGGGGCCGCCTCCCCAGACAAGCCGCAGATCTGTCCCATGCCTCGCCTCAGTGGGTCAGTGCCTGCCCCAGTCCCTGTTCCAGCCCCATTCCCTCCCTCACTGCAGGGGGGCATTGATCTGCCCCCCCACACCCCTTTACTCCCTTTTCCCCTCCACCACAACAAACTTACCAGCTGCATGCAGCTGTATCGGAAATCAGATTGGTATCGGCCAATATGACTCCTTAAAAATCAGCTATCAGTATTGACCCCCAAAATCTCTATCTGTGCACCCCTAATGAGCAGCATACACAAGTCAGTCTTGATTGGCTGTGAGCTGTATAAACTCACCGTTGACACTGCAGCACTCCAGGAAACAACAATTGCAGGTGCTGGTTCTATCCAAGAGACCAATTATACCTTCGTTTGGCAAGGTAAAAGTGCTGAAGAAAATAATCTGCGCATCATCGGTTTCACTATGAGCAACACGGTGGCAAGCTTATTGAATCATCCATTGGGACATCGGAGCACATCATCTCACTTGGACTTCAGACCACTGACTTTGCGAACATCATCATCGCTTATGTATCAACACTCAGCTTCAGCCCTGAGCAGAAGGATACATTTTACGACACTCTGCACCATTCTGTCAAAGGCATACCATCAACTGAGTAACTATTCCTCCTCAGAGACTTTAATGAAAGAGTCATCACAGACAACAGCTCATGGCCAGGTTGCCTAGGACATTTTAGCATAAGCAAGATGAATGAAAACGGCCAACAACTTCTTGAATTCTGCGCCAAAACCAACTGTGCATTACAATTCATATTTTGCTGGAAAAGATTGTCAGAAAGTGTCATGGAGACATCCATGATCAGGCCACTGGCACCAACTAGATCTTGTTATTGTTAAAAGGAAAGTTCTACCTTCAGTGCAGAAGACCTGCATGTTCCACAGTGCCACTTGTGACACTGACCACTCCCTGATCATTAGCAAAGTGAAAGTTACAGCCATGAAACTACATAGAACAAAACCTAGGAATAAGCCCAAAATCAATCCCACTAACACCAAGAACTAGAGAATGTACCAAGAGGTTGTAAAGGCTTTTGAACTTAGTATGTTTGGGAAGGAAGTCACTACCACAGAAAGCAGAGGAAACCTTGGAAAATTTAAGAACTGCAATCCATGAAACAGCTAAAGTTACATTTGGGGAAAAGAGACCATCCAATAAGGACTGGTTTGAAGAAAATACAGAAGAACCATTACCTCTCTTCAACATCTCAAATGCAAGAAAACAACAGAGAGCACCAAAGCAAGACTTCAACAGGCAAAAAACGAGGTACAGGGAGGAACCAGATACCGTGCAAATCAGTACTGGTCTAAGCTCTGTAATGAGATACAGATAACCTCAGACATGCAAAACCAAAAGTCATGTATGATTGTCTGAAGAAAGCTCTCTAGGCTCTACTGGCAAGGTTACCTTTCCCGTGTCATGCATGGTAAATCCATTATAGATAGAAGCAAGCAGATGTCTCACTGGGTTGAATACTACTCAGAGCTATACTCACAAGAAAGAAACATCACCAACAAATCACTGGACCAAATACCAACTCTACAGGTCATGCCAGAGTTAGATGTGGAGCCCACTGTAGAAGAGTCAAGCAAGGCCATTGATTTATTATCTAGTGGCAAGACTCCTGGAAAAGATGGCACCCCAGCAGAAATTCTCAAGTGTGGGAAAGAAAGCCTACTACCATATCTTCATTAGCTGCTACTCAAATGCTGGAAAGAGGGTGTGGTACCACAAGACCCCTGCTAAACCAGACATTAGACTCCTGCTAAACCAAATGGGACAAGTGACAGCCAACACCCAGGAAAAGGCCAACCTGCTTAGTGGGTATTTCGCATCGTTTTTTCACCAGCCCAATGGGCCGTCCTGCCTAACATGATATGGGATGGCCAGGGTGAGGGTGAATTTATTACCCAACATCAGTGTAGACCTTGTAAAGGAATACCTTGAGAGGCTGGACACATTCAAGTCAGCTGGTCCTGACAGTTTGCAACCCAGGGTATTTAAGAAGCTGGCAGGCATCATAGCCCAGCCACTGGCAAGGATCTTCGAGAACTCGTGGCACTCAGGTGAAGTACCTGAAGATTGGAAGAAGGCCAATGTGGTGCCTACCTTCAAGAAAGGGAGGAAAGTAGATCTGGGGTACTACAGGCCAATCAGCTTGACCTCAATCCCTGAAAAGATTTTGGGAAAGAATTATCAAAGAGACTATTCTTGACAAACTAGTTGATGGCAACATCCCAAGGGACAGCCAGCAAATGTTTGTTGTGGGTAGGTCTTGCCTGACCAATCTCATTTCTTTCTATGACCAGGTGACATGTCACCTGGATAAGGAAGAAGAGATTGATATCATCTATACGGACTTTTAAAAAGCCTTTGATCTGGGGTCCCATGATCTCCTCATGGAAAAATTGGCCAACTGCAGCCTCAGCTACATCACAGTCTGATGGTTGGGGAATTGGCTCCGAGGTCGGACTCAGAGAGTCCCGTCTTGCTGGGAACCTTTGACCCTACCTTACCTGACTTCCTCCCCCTAAAAGATAGGATGCCTATCACTCCTGCTAAGTGTTATATTCTCCTTCCACAACAACATGAAAGCAACTGTTCAGTTTGATGGGCCCACTTCAGACAGCATTGAGATGAAAAGCAGAGTGATGCAGGGTTGTGTTCTTGCCCCTACATACTTTGGAATCTTATCGGTATACTACTGACCTGTGCATTTAAAGACATGGAAGGTAGAGTATACCTTCACACTAGATTGAATAGGAAGCTCTTCAACCTGTCATGACTTAAGGCAAAGACTAAAGTTATAAAAGTGCTGCTCAGGGAGCTTCTATTCCAGGTGGGTCTGATTACATCAAATTGATTTAAATCACAATTAAAATCACTGGTCAGAAAGCCTCAATTTAATCATTGTTTTCTACAAAAAGTGAATTCTTGTTGTTTGATATCTTTTATTCATTTACACTTCTTGAAACTTTGCACTTTTAGAGAAAGGTAAGGGCTTGACTGTGTGTACACAAACTTGCAGAGAGACAACAGGGCTGATGGGTGGGCAATTAAGTCTGTTATCTCTCCTCTCCATATAAAAATACTATTAAATTTTTTAAAATCTGATTTAAATAAAAAAATATGATTTTTAATTTTTTTTAATCATTGATTTTTATCCACTCTGCTTCTATTCATTGATGATGCTGCCTTTATAACCCACAATGAAGACCTACTACAAGAACTCATGGATTGCCCCTCAACAGCTTGCCAGGCATTTGCTCTTACCATTAGCATAAAGACAACAGTTGTACTAGGACAGGGAGTTCCACAAGATCCAGCAACCACCCTTAATGAGAACCAGCTAGAAGTAGTACAAAAGCTCAGCTAACTAGGCTCCACAGTGACCACCAACCTCTCACTGGATGATGAATTTAATGTTTGCATCGGAAAGGCTGCCACCACCTTCAACAGACTAAAAGAGGATAAAACAACTCAAAACTTACCATTAAGACCAAAATGCTAGTGTAGAAAGCTTGCATACTCAGCACTCTCATGAATATGAGTCATCAGTGTGACAAAGTCATCAGCAAAGCTAACTGCACTTTATCGTGCATCAGCAGATGCATGACAAACAGAACCAAGGAGGTGATACTTCCCCTCTATTGGGCACTGGTCAGACCGCAGTTGGAATACTGCATCCAGTTTTGGGCACCACACTTTAAGAGGGATGTGGATAACTTGGAGAGGGTCTAGAGAAGGGCCACTTGTATGGTTAAGGGTTTGCAGCCCAAGCCCTATGAGGAGAGACTAGGGCACCTGGACCTTTTCAGCCTCTGCAAGAGAAGGTTGAGAGACGACCTTGTGGCTGCCTATAAATTCATCATGGGGGCGCAGGAGGGAATTGGTGAGGCTCTACTCACTAAGGCGCCCCTGGGGGTTACAAGAAATATTGGCCATAAGCTAGCAGACAGCAGATTTAGACTGGACATTAGAAAGAACTTTTTCATAGAGTGGCCAAAATCTGGAATGGGCTCCCAAGGTGGGTGGTGCTCTCCCCTACCCTGGGGGTCTTCAAACGGAGGTTAGATAGGCATCTGGCTGGGGTCATTTGAACCCAGCACTCTTTCCTGCCTATGCAGGGGGTCGGACTTGATGATCTATTGAGGTCCCTTCCGACTCTAACAGCTATGAATCTATCAATGTATGGTGAGAAAACATGGACAACTTATGCACATCAACAGATAAGGTTAAACAGCTTCCACCTGCGCTGTTTACTTTGCATACTCAACACCAAATGGCCTGACAAAGTTACCAGCGCAGAGGTTCTTGAAAGGGCAAATTTACCAAGTGTGACAGCCCTATTCAAACAGAGATGACTGTGCTAACTATGCCATCTGAGCAGATTGGAAGATGGACATATACCCAAGGATATGCTATATGGGGAACTGTCTGAGGTGTGGAAGATTAGCCATGTCCTCCCAAAGTAAAACTGCCATCTGTCACGTTGGACCAGATAGTCTCCTTAAACTCACCTGCCGTGACTTAGAAAAAGGAAGGAATCAAAGATGAATACAGTCTTAAGAGATAAGGCTGGTGTTCATTCTGTAACTTAGAAGGTTGGCTTCATTTCACAGGGCTCCACCATCCCCATGCTTTCCCTTACCACACCAGATGTTCTGACTTTACTCAGTTCTCCTTTGTGGGAGTCTCAGTTGCCGGATGGCCTTGATCTGCCTCTAGGCAACCAGTTCTGTGCTATTGGTCACTTACCTCGTTCTTCCCCACATGGGTCCCAAGCTGACAGTCCCGCAGTTCATCTTGGCCCTTATCTTTCAGGGCCAAGTCACACTGGGCACACGCCCCAAACTCACATGAGCACTTAGCTCCGTCTCTTCTTCCCTCCAGGTCCCCTGAATGGCTGCCCAGACCCCCTGGATCCAGATTTACCAGCTTGGATGCCGCAGCTGCCTCATCTCCCTGTCTCCACAAGTAAGTCAGTCTTTGGGACTCTCCCGCAAGTCCCCTTGCTCAATCCCTTGCTGTCATCTCCCCACATTCCTTCAGGTTTCCTCTCGTGTAACTTCCTTGCTCCAATCAACGCCTACTGCCTGGTCAGCTTCCTTTTAAATCCCCAAGCCAAATCCCCAAGCTTTATTACAAAGATGCATACAAGCAAGATATGAAGGTATTTGGAATTGATCCTGACCAATGGGAAACCTTGGCAAGTGATCAAAATAAGTGGCGTTATCATCTCCACCAGGGTATCAAAGTCCACAACAGGAACTGGCTCTAACAACTTGAAGAGAAAAGAGTCTGTAGGAAGCAGGCAGCTTCCAAACCACCCATACACACTTGCAACCACTGTCACAGATCATGCAAATCTCAGATTGGACTATTCAGTCACATGAGACACTGCAAGCCATTTACTTCATAGGCTGCAATATCTACCATCTCTCCACTGAAAGGATGCCAAAAAAAAAAGGGAGGGGGGAAAGCTGCAGCATGATGGCCAAAATGCTGCATTGAGAAGTCACATAGACCCAGCTTCCAATGTCCTCTGGGTGAGGGGGCCTATAACCAGCATCCTAAATGAGTGTCCTAGTCACTAAGCAACTGGAAGGAAAAGATGGGGCACTCTCTCTCCAATGTTGTTGCCAATGTATATATATGCACAAATAGTTGTCCACACACAGGACTTCATAGCTAGAAACTGAATTCCAACACGTGTTTAAGCAGCATTTTTATATGACCGTGTAGATGACCAAAACTGGACACTTAGAAAACCAAGGAAGAGCAGAATTCTACCCTCTTTAACTACTTGATGACAAAAGTTATTTGGCTTTGATCGTGAATGGCTAGCAAGGGAAAAGAACATTTTGGAAAAAGTCCCAAGCCATCTATCATAAACAGAAAGAAAGAAGCAAGACAGGACAACTTTTAAAAACAAATAGCTATTCAATTCAGTTGTGGGTCAAGGGACTAATCAATAGAGCAGTTAAAATCTAAGACATTACAGTACCTCAAACATCATATGGATGAAGGGTGTAAGTTTGATTCTTTCACTGTTGGCCAAGCACAGCATCTTGTTATCATCCAAGACAGTGTTCATATTTTCAATCCATAATGCATCGACTGGCCCATCACTAATGATCCACTTGTGATCTTCCGAAGTGTCATTTACAGCCGCCCGAACACTAAGTGCCATCAATCCATCTTTCCACTCCAAAGTTAAGTTATTAACTTCGCCATACAATTCCCCCATTGTAATCGATTTGGGGTTCAAAATATATGTTTTGACAGGCTGGTAAAATGGGTTTTGCTCCCCAGCCTCATGCAATTCTCCTAAGGATTGTGCCAGAACTTGATAAACTGTAGTTTTTCCACCTCCTGTTGGCCCAACAAGCATAACACCATGCCTTACTAGCATGGTTTCATAGAGCTGTATGACTTTATGAACCATGCTGTCTTCCGGTTGCAATCCTTGTGAAAGCATGACATCTATAATTGTTGATTGTAGGATTCCATAGTCATGGTCTGGGATTATAACTCCCGGGAAAAGATCAGAAATAATTCCACTGAAACAAACAAAATAAATCTTGTTTATTTTTGTCAATTAATGTGTTACTTGGATTATATTTAAAATAATGCATTTTTATTCTTTAGTATTGCACATCTTTTTTGATTTGCTGCTGTTTTCATAAGGACAGCTTTTATACAGGCCTATAACCTGATGGGCAAGAAGGAATGTTTTAGATTTTATAATCCAAACTTTTTAGTGTGGGTGCCTACAAGTTGGTTCCTACACCCATATTTAGGTATCTAGAGTGGTGATCTAACCAAACCCAAAATGTGTCCAGGCACCTAACACTTTTTTGGGTGCCTGTACACAGGTAGGGAGGCTGCTCCCACATGCTGTAATTATAGCAGATGAGAGCAGACTCAATTAATCAACTCTGCTGCCGCATGCTAATTAGCATGCATCCAGCAGCCTCTGCATCTCATGTATCAGTGCAGTGTCTCTGTGCTTCAAAATGGCATCAGGGGTGCTTTAACTGAAGCTCGTTCAATAAGCTTTAAAGTGCCCCTGTTGCCATTTTGAAGTACAGGGATGCTGATACATGAGATGCTGCGGGTGCTTTAATTAGAGCAGCTTTCGGAGCCACTCTAATTAAAGCACCCCCCACCCTCCCTCAGAGCATGTGTAAAAAGGCTCCTTGTGCCTAAACTCCTCTGAAATCCTAAAAAGGATTTAAATGCCTGAACACTTTTTTTTGGAAATGGCCCCTGCTGCTCAAAAATGCTGAGCACCTTCAGTTCCAACTAAGGTGAAGAAAATGCATATACACTGCACTTATTCAAACATCAGGCTTTCTTAGGCACAGCACTTACAAGCAATACTTTCCTGAATAGGTGTCTTAATCTGGTGCCAATCTGTAGGGGTGCTAAAAAAATTTTAACCTAAGTGATCTGTGATGCAAGTAACCTATTTTATAAGTTTAAGCCTGAGACTTTACATGAAGCAAGTTTCCTAATATTTTCTTTGCTATTTCTTATATCATGTTTTCATGGTTTGTGCTATGTATTTATTAGAATGACATCATTACTTAAATAAATGTAATTCACATTTCCCCCTCAGTACTGTGAAAACAGTTGTAGTTGTGAGACCACAGGACAAATTTCTAGTTTATCTTTCTTGCCAGTTGAATTGGCTCATTAAGGGAGAAACAAGATTTCACCAAACCTTTGCCTAACAATACCTATAAAGTGTAATGGCTTCATGGGAACGGGTCAGGGACTGAAAAGTTTATTAGTGAGAAACTGAACAGATTTTTTTTTTATCACTTCTGGAATACTGTACTTAATGACTCAGATAGGGTAATAAATTAAATCCCATTTTGTGCCATGCTGCATCTACTAAATATACAGCTGACACAAGCATAAAAACACAAGGACCACATCCCCACATGCAGGTACATGTGGTTTGTGGCACCACAAACTGCACACGTAGAACATTAAAATATGCCTTGTGCGACAAATTTGCAGTGTGAGGGTAAAATTTGCTACCAGGGTTTCTTGGGAGAAACTCCCCTCCCCCACCCCCACCCCCCCCAAAAAAAACAAAAAAACAAAAAAACAAACAAACCCCAGAATCCAGGGGGAAAAAAGTGGCATGGCATATGCCATACTAGCGTGTGCCAGAACAAATGGAGGCGTGATCTAGGAAGACACTCTGACTGCTAGTCAGTCTCCACGCCTCCATTTGTGCCCTGGCTGCTCCAGCACACCAGGAGCTGGGAGGAGCTGAGCAAAGTCAGTTTGCCCGAAGCAGGACGCAACGTCTTGCAACAAAGTGCACCTGTAGGGGTGTCTGCTGCGACACAAAGTAGCAGCATTAATTTGTGCCACTACTACTTGTGCTGCTGCAGGCACCCCCCCCTCCCCCCCCAGCACATCTGGGAGTGAGGGGCACAAGCAGAACCAGGGGGGCCATGGGGGAGGGGGGGCTTTCATTTTAACCATGGAGTTTGGGGTTATCAAGGAATTTGCAATGTTCTTATTATGGAAAGCCAGAATCCCTGCTGATCCATCCACTGCTTAGCTTTCTGTTCTTGCCATATTACCACTGTGCTGCCTGTCCCCTCCCCAATCAGCTACACACCACACACAGAAACTTGTGGCACATGTGCGTTGGCCACCTCTGGTGTAGAACTTGATTGGGGAGAAGGAAAGTGCCTTATACTTTATTCCCTGTTAGGGTGTAGGAGTATGTAGCATTGAGTAAATAATAACAGCAATGAAGGGTAACGTAATCTGAAACCAAAATTCCTCTGCTTCAGGCTCCAAACACAGGATACATTTCTTAGGCCACCGTCTACTCTGATGAGAAATAAGCAATGGCAAGAACAGTGGAAAGCATCATGAGTGTGTCTGAGCTGAATCAGGACTTTGCAGCTACTTCAGAATAATGCAGGGGACATAATACAAGCAAGGAGCAGGGCCAAAACAGCTGGACACAGATCTTTTCAGAGGGTTATAATTTGAACAATTTGGGCTAGATTTCATAGAAACAGCAAAAACAGACTCCTCTGATGGGGACTATACCCAAGCCTAATTTCAAGTTCCTTATCCAAACTACAGAGTTGTTGAAGTTGCTCCAAAAAGACTGAAATAAAGAAAAATCCAATACTGGTAAACGTACTTATTTTTCACAAGATTCACTCTTGGAAAGAGCTGCACCATTTTTACTTAAACTTTCCAAAATAATTAAAGTTGTAGCAGAAACCAAACATGGGGCATTTCAACTGAAATTGTTGAAGTTTCCCAAAGTCATAAGCAATTAAAAACAGGGGATTACAATGAGAGGTACTACAAAAACATAATATAGTGGCTTTTGATGTATAATGCAAATAAAACTAAGTTTGTAAACATAAAGTTGTTTTGATTATTTTTAATAATGGCAATATAAATGTGATGCAACGATATGTGGAAGACAGACTATTAAAACATAAAATTACCTGAAAAGAAGAGCATCATCTGCAAGAAATTTTGGTAGGTTGGAATCTCGTAAAGCCCTTATTAATACAACATCCTCATTCAGATCTGGATTTTCTCTTTTTAATGACCTAAGTTTAAAAAAAACAGTACCCAGGATGATTCAGTTTTTCTCAATCTATTTTTATACAAATCTTTATAGGTAATATAAGTGAACTGGTATAACTAGCATTACAAAAATTGGGTTGTATTCAGTTACTCTCTAGTTATAATTTGGTATTATACCATCAAACCATTTATTATAGTTGAACTCCAACTCCTTATTAATCAATATCACTATTTATTTTCCTGAATTCAGCAATACTGAAGTCTTGGAAAAATCACCCACCAACCTCAGCACCAACACAAATAAGTGTATCCATTTCAAACAGCAGGGAGTTCCATGAAGGTATTTGCTTACCTCCAGAAGGTCAATAATAAGAAGTTTATCTTCCGTTTAGCATAAGGGAAAGGTGAAGCATTTATTAAATACTTGGGTTGGACAGAGACATTTTCATAACAATGCTGGATCTCATACCTTTTGGGGATTCTTCCCCAGCCATGACTAATACAGATTTAACAGCTCTCATTCCAAAGTCATAGTGGTCCTGTTGAGACAGTTGCTCGCTACAAAGTTTGTACATTTGAGTCATCTTCCTTGCAAGAACTTTACTAGATTCAAATCCTTCTGAATATAAAATCACCTACAGCAAATAAAAAGCACATCTAAATGTACTTATAATGTACCGAAAGTTTCTTATTTATAGTCTCAGTGCTACTCTCACATTGGTTTCATTGGGAGCAGGATCTGGCCCCAAATGTCTGCATATTAATATAAGTAATTAGAGATAGTATGATTTTGTAGTAATTTAGTCTACATTTTTTTACAAATGCTCTCAGCTATGTTGTTACGTCTCAGCTCTGTATTCTTGGGCAATCGGGGCACAGGATGCAGTCTGTCTGACTCACAAAGGACTCACCCCCCCACCCCCCTCCTCTACCTAAATGAAACTGATTAAGATGCAGTGAGAGACGCACCTAAGACCCTCACCAGATAAGGGTGACAAGAGTGAATCAACTGCCCTCGGTCTCATTTACATGAGAGATGGAAAACAGAAAGCCTGAAGCAGAGACTGCAGTGAATTCTGGGACCAGAGAAGCAGGAGAGCGCTGCATGATGGGGAATCTGTGCTTCCAATGTTAATCAACCCATGTTCACACACACCCAGCTCAGCATTTATCAGACCAGTTCTAATCTGGATTTACTAAGGACTTTTCCCCCCCAGACACACACACACAGCTCTAAGTTTAATAGGCATCTCAGGCCGTACATTCCCCGGTCCCACTATGGGAGGCCTATTTAAACTTGATTGACTAAAACTCGGTTGCCGGGTTAGGGAATGCTGAGGCAAGAGACCGAGTCAGAGGGGGTATGGGCAACATTTGAACAATGATTAAGGGTTCATCACAGCATCCAGCCTGCTGGAGCCCTAATCCCAGGTGTTGTCATATCTTTCCCGAGACGACTGGTGGGAGTCCTCTCCACAAAAGGTTATGAGCACCCCAATAATTGTCTTAAGTCTGTTAAAAGACTATAGTAAGATCTGGAAAAGTCATGCTAAGCTGAGGCTTGTGCACAACAAGTAAAAATCCAAAATCCTGATGCTGCAAGCTATCTATTGTTCCTGAAGAAACCATGAGATATCCCATCAGTATATCTGCCACCCATAGGAATTTCAAGCTGGCTCCCAAGTATTTGGGTTACTCCCTAATCTTAAGTGTTTCCTGATTATCAATCAGTTTCCTGAGATGGTCCAAACCAGATAACCCCTTGTCAATAGAAAAGACAATGATTTACACTACTGAGGGTGCTTCGAAGCAGCTGAACTGAGGGTATAAAAATCTGTAAGTGTGTGTGCTGCTAGAAGAGGAAAAGGAAGGAAAAGAAGTAGAAGCAGGAGGAAAGAAGGAGAAGAAGAAAACCCCTGTGCTGACACCATCCCCTGTCGTTCTTGGGACGCTGGAAGAACAGATCATCTCTCTCTTCAAGGATTGTGCTACGGACTGTGCCTGTCAGCTTTGCAGCCTGAGTACCGTGGACTAGGTGAGATCCCAGCGTTCTCTGTCTTCTTTCTAGGCATAAACTTCTGAACCTGAACTGTATCAGTTAAGCTTGAGCTAAGTTTCCCCAAATACTTAGTGAAACCAGGGTAGTATTGTCATTGTTGGTGTTTGTTTTTCTTTTGCATGTCTATTACTACTAGTACTATTATATATTTCATATGCTTAGCAATAAATAACTTTTATAGTCAAACTGGTAGTAATTGGGTATATTTTTCCTTCTCTGCTTCTCTTTCCTCCCGTGCTCTGCAGCAACGCTTCTTTTACCTATGCTAAAGATCCCTGTGAAGCCCAAATTATTGTGGGGTCTGCTCATCAAGAGGCCAAAGATTGGGACGTGCTGAGTTTGAAACACATAAGGGGATCAGCTTGTACAGGCTGATTGACCCAGTTTGACTCAGACGTGCCCTAATGAACTGAATGCTGGCCCATGAGGGTGTCAGCTGGACACTCAGCCAGATTCAGAGGGATTCTGTTTACCTGTGTGCTTGTGTCTGACTGCATTTTATTGTTGCTCTTATGAACTGATTCTTGGCATATGAGGGTGTCAGCCTGTCCATGCTGATCAGCCCGGCCAGGTCAGGCGTGTCACGTTAATTTGTGTGTGTTTGTGTGTATGACTGATTTGGTGACTGGAGGAACCCAGTCCCATTGAGATTGAGTCCTGCAAGATAGCTCCACTGGGGGTGAGGGCTTGCAGAAGGGAGAAATACAGCTCCGTATAGTAACACAAGCAGCACATTGACAGAATCACCAAGACCCTAGAAACTATCCCTAATAAATGAGCACACCCCAAAGTAATGGGCAAATTTGGTAATAATGTGATCTACTTCTTTCTACAGTACCTAATGCATTATATCCATTTATTTAGGGAAAATATTAATGCTTAGAGCTGTAAGCCTTTGCAAGTGCTTATTCACATAACTAGTTCCATTTACTTTAATTGAAACACTTGTGCAAGTAAATACACAACGATGTAGGTAAATGTTGCAAGGTCCAGCCTTAACAACTGCAAAATAAATGCATATACATACAAAACTATATAATAAAAGAACAGAACTTATTTTAAGATTATGGACTTATATTTCTGAGTAATTGAGTAACTTAGGCCTATTATAAGTCCAAAAAAGAAGAACAGCGTCCGTGACAAAGGCAGTTAGTAGTTAGGGTTATTACAGGGAAGCAGTATAAAAAGAAATCCAAAGATAAGGATAACCAAATTAATGGCAACCATTACTGAGCAGATACAACTGATGCTGAACCAGGAGTCAGAGACAGTTGAAGATAATTAATTCTGTGGTTCATTAATACTAAATGGTAATAAACATCCTTAAATAAACTTGTAACACACTTAATAGTACCAACTACTTAAAGATACCTCAGCAATTAAGGCATAGTTTGGAACCATCATGGCAAATGGTCTGAAGAGAGATTTTAAATTGTCAGGTAATTCTGTTCGTCCAGCATAGCCAGGATTCATGGTTATGAATGCTGCACATGTCATGACCAGCTTTATTTCACGACCCTCAAACGTAAATCGAAAGAGCTGTTTAAGAGAAAGTGAAAAATATATTTTATATTGCATTCCTGAAAAATTGGAATTTTCTTTAAAAATAGGACTGCATTGTTACGTCTCAGCTGTGTGTTCTTGGGCAACCCTGGCACAGGATGCAGTCTGTCTGACTCACAAAGGACTCACCCCCGTCCCTCCCCTCCTCTACATAAATGAAACTGATTAAGATGCAGTGAGAGACGCACCTAAGACCCTCCAGATAAGGGTGACAAGAGTGAAACAACTGCCCTAGGTCTAATTTAAATCGGAGATGGAACCAGATGACCATTCATTTACATGAGAGATGGAGAACAGAAAGCCTGAAGCAGAGACTGCAGTGAATTCTGGGACCAGAGAAGCAGGGGAGCACTGCATGATGGGGAATCTGTGCTCCAAATGCTAATCAACCCATGTTCACACAGACCCAGCTCAGCATTTTTCAGACCAGTTCTAATCTGGATTTACTAAGGACTTCCCCCCGCCCAGACGCACACACACCTCTAAGTTTAATAGGCATCTCAGGCCGTACATTCCCCGGTCCCACTATGGGAGGCCTATTTAAACTTGATTGACTAAAACTTCGGTTGCCAGGTTAGGGAATGCTGAGGCAGGAGACCGAGTCAGAGGGGGTATGGGCAACATCTGAACAATGGTTAAGGGTTCAGCACAGCGTCCACCCTGTTGGAGCCCTAATCACAGGTGTTGTCATACTTTTCGCGAGACGACTGGTGGGAGTCCTCTCCACAAAAGGTTATGAGCACCCCAATAATTGTCTTAAGTCTGTTAAAAGACTATAGTAAGATCTGGAAAAGTCATGCTAAGCTGAGGCTTGTGCACAACAAGTAAAAATCCAAAATCCTGATGCTGCAAGCTATCTATTGTTCCTGAAGAAACCATGAGATATCCCATCAGTATATCTGCCACCCATAGGAATTTCAAGCTGGCTCCCAAGTATTTGGGTTACTCCCTAATCTTAAGTGTTTCCTGATTATCAATCAGTTTCCTGAGATGGTCCAAACCAGATAACCCCTTGTCAATAGAAAAGACAATGATTTACACTACTGAGGGTGCTTCGAAGCAGCTGAACTGAGGGTATAAAAATCTGTAAGTGTGTGTGCTGCTAGAAGAGGAAAAGGAAGGAAAAGAAGTAGAAGCAGGAGGAAAGAAGGAGAAGAAGAAAACCCCTGTGCTGACACCATCCCCTGTCGTTCTTGGGACGCTGGAAGAACAGATCATCTCTCTCTTCAAGGATTGTGCTACAGACTGTGCCTGTCAGCTTTGCAGCCTGAGTACCGTGGACTAGGTGAGATCCCAGCGTTCTCTGTCTTCTTTCTAGGCATAAACTTCTGAACCTGAACTGTATCAGTTAAGCTTGAGCTAAGTTTCCCCAAATACTTAGTGAAACCAGGGTAGTATTGTCATTGTTGGTGTTTGTTTTTCTTTTGCATGTCTATTACTACTAGTGCTATTATATATTTCATATGCTTAGCAATAAATAACTTTTATAGTCAAACTGGTAGTAATTGGGTATATTTTTCCTTCTCTGCTTCTCTTTCTTCCCGTGCTCTGCAGCAACGCTTCTTTTACCTATGCTAAAGATCCCTGTGAAGCCCAAATTATTGTGGGGTCTGCTCATCAAGAGGCCAAAGATTGGGACGTGCTGAGTTTGAAACACATAAGGGGATCAGCTTGTACAGGCTGATTGACCCAGTTTGACTCAGACGTGCCCTAATGAACTGAATGCTGGCCCATGAGGGTGTCAGCTGGACACCCAGCCGGATTCAGAGGGATTCTGTTTACCTGTGTGCTTGTGTCTAACTGCAGTGTATTGTTGCTCTGATGAACTGATTCTTGGCATATGAGGGTGTCAGCCTGTCCATGCTGATCAACCCAGCCAGGTCAGGCGTATCACGTTAATTTGTGTGTGTTTGTGTGTATGACTGATTTGGTGACTGGAGGAACCCAGCCCCATTGAGACTGAGTCCTGCAAGATAGCTCCATTGGGTGTGAGGGCTTGCAGAAGGGAGAGATACAGCTCCGTATAGTAACACAAGCAGCACATTGACAGAATCACCAAGACCCTAGAAACTATCCCTAATAAATGAGCACACCCCAAAGTAATGGGCAAATCTGGTAACAGCATTTTCCAGGAAAGATCACAAATATAAAATTGTGAGCTTTTTTTTGTTTTTTTTAAATCTGTTTGGCATTTGGCTTCACTTCAGTTTGGTTACTGTAACAGGGAACCCCTGCCTCTGTTATTAGGAAGGCCTGAGAGGATAGGAAACCCAGGGCCTAGAAGGGCAGCAAACAAGGAGTAGCAGCCCAGGTGCACTGAGTGAGGGACTAAAAAGGCCTAGATGGCTAATGAAGCAATTAGCTGTACCTGGTCCTGGGGTGCAGAAGACCCATTCACATGGCCAGAAGGAGGCTAAGCTTGGGGGATATGAGCCCACTCCCTGACCGTGCAAAATAGCAGCTCCTGCTTGCAGCAGGGAGAGGATCTCCTGGGAGAGAGGGGCTGCTAGAGACAGGCAGGAAGGCACCCAAGCCACCCAGGGGAGCCGGGGTGAGATGGTTCCGATGGAAGTAGGGACTGCAGGCAACATTTACCCTGAGAGAGGGAGACTATGTTTTGTGAAACAGCTGACTTGTGTTTTTGTTCTGTTCTGAGACCAGAAAACCGGGGTGTGGCTACAGGGGTGCCTGGGTGGCACTCCCTTGCTATACATGCCAGAAGCTAGGCCCAAGCCAGAGGGGTGTAGAGTGGAGTGGTGATACTGGAACCCCAGGAGAAGCTGCTGCCAAAGCAGGGCCGATACCCAGGAGCTGAAGTCTTAAACAGTGGACCAAGGCCAAGAGAAGGGGGCCAAGGCTGTGACAGTGAAGTCCTGATGGGTGTTCAGAAGCCTAAGGGAGCACTCCCTTAAAGGGAAGTACTTAAGGGAGAGCACAAGGTCCCAGGTGGGAGGCTGACTTGGCTGGGCAGACAAGATGACCAGTGAAGTTACTTCCGGCCCTAGGGGCCAACATCAAAGTCATGGCAGGCAGGAGACTGAAGGTGAGGTGAGACTGGGAGAGAACCGGAAGATGGGTTCGACCACAGGGAGGGGAAACAGGGTGGCAGCCCTCCCAAAGGTACCACAGCTACCAAGAGCAAAACCATGATCCACTCCTCACTCCCTACACACCCTGTGCCAGAACACGGGTCCATGGGCAGGGGCAAGCAGGGCATGAATCGCAGCTCTGCCATGGGTCCCAGCCCCACGCTATGACCACCCAACGATCCCAGGATCTCCATGGAAACCAGCTGGGACTCCTGAGGGCAGGGCACACACATCTGGGTAGATTGGATGGGCTGCAAATGGGCAGGAAGCAGTGTGCAGGAGCAGGACAGGAGGGCAGGGCTGGAATCGTAATCATGGGGCAGTGATAGCACGAGGCTGGGATGCAGGGCAGAGCCACAATCTGCTCCCAATGCGCCTGAGATGGGCACTGGTTCTGCAGGCAGGGGTATGCAGGGAACAGATCATGACTGCTCCAGGCTCTGGCCCCGGTCACCCATCCCATTCCCAGATGCTGCTTCCCGCCCACCCACAGCCCCTCCCATCTGCTCGCCTGCACACCCTGTCACCATGGGTCCTAGCCGATCTCCATGGAGAACCTAGGATCACTGGGTGGTGATGATGTGGAGTCAGGGCTCAGGGAAGACCCACAATCCACTCCCCACACACCCCTGCCCACAGAACCATCACCTGTCGCAGGGTGTGTGGGATGCAGGAAGTGGATCGTGGCTCTGCTCTATGCCCTGGCCCCAAGCTGTCACTACCTAGAGATCCCAGTTCCAACCCCGGCCCCAGCCCTGGCCACCTGTCCCACTCCCAGATGCTGCTTCCTGTCTGCCCACAGCCTCATCCCATCCATCTGGCTGAGCCTGAGCCCGCAGGAGAGCCACTTAGGGAATTCTGGTCAGCTGTTGTGGGCTGGGGGGTGCTGACCTGACCTGCAACAGATCAACTAAACTTCCTAAGTGGCCCCCTGGCCCAAATAATTGCCCAACCCTGTGTAATACTATCTGTGATGTGATATGACAAACACTCAGATCACAACATGCCTGGAATGGAATTAAAATTAACTAGTCATTTACCAGATGCTTTGGAGAGGCTTTAAAAAGTGGCAAAAGGTGAAAACATCTAATATTCTGTGAAGGAAGAACTATGCACTACAGAAACATACTTATGAACTCTAACCTAAAAATCTGTCTTAGAGCGCAAGTGAAATTAATTTAATGATGTCTAGTGCATACTATTTACTGAAAATAACAATGAAATAACCTCTGAAGAACTGTATTGGAACTAACTTTTGAACTATGTTTCATTTTAAAGTTCATTTAAGTTAAAGAAAATCACAACTGATTTCATTTTACTGAAAAATAAGAATCTGAAGAACCTAAGTATTTAATAGCCAGCATTAAATAAAACTGTTAAAAGAGGATTTCCTCTCTTGTCACAAGCTGTTAATTTTAGTTCAACATCATAGAAAATACAATCAATGCCCAATCCTGCAAACAGTGGCAACCATGACTTTTTTTCTACAGCTCATAACCCCAGTGACTTCAATGTGTCTTTATGCAAACAAAAGTAAAAAATAGGGGCAGCAGCAACTGTTGGTTTGTTCAAGGCCTTAATTATTATAGTTTGACACTGTTGCTGGCAATCTAGTAATAAAGGACAAAGACTGAACGGAGTATGCAGGATGGAGATTCACAACTTCTATGGCCCCTGGAGGTACTTATCTAAAGTAAAGGAGAGTTGCGTTTGTACGGATGATTGTGCTGCTGCACCAGCACATGCTGTACCTGATCTGTGGCTAAATAAAAATAAATCAGTTCTGGACTGCCAATAATCCCGACTTTTTCACAAACATTAACATAACACACTATTTCTCTTTTGTTATCCAATATAAAAGATAATTACCTTTGCAGCTTTAGCATTCCTAATAGTAATTAGCTGCTGAGCAATCACTGATAGAACTTCAATATCAATTCGATTAAATTCATCAAAACAGCACCATGCTCCAGACTGAGCCAAACCACTGAAGAAACGTCCCATCATCTGAAACCATAACATGGCCAAAGATTATGCAGGGTTTCACAACGCACTGATGAAAACTTTATAAATGTATTTAGTCAAGTCTCAGAGGAAGAGACATGTCAGAATGGGATGGAGAGGAAGACAAGGGAACTGGCTGGTTTGTACAGTTTAGAAAAGAATGGGACCCCCATTTTTGACTGATGTAAAAGATATGTTATGATGTAAGGCCAAAAGCACATGTCAAGGGACACAACAGGATACTTAAAGAAGGAGCCCATAGAAGAAAACTAAGCCTCATTTTTAAAAAACATTTCCTTCCAATTAGATGTTTGTTGTCAAGCATTTCAAGTTCGCTGCATTGTGAAGAACATTTTAAAACTAAAAACGGGGAACAGAGAAAAGGGATGTCGTAACAATGGTCCTGAGGCCTGAAACAAAAGAAATAAAGAAAGGAAATGGGTACAAGCAACCCCCGCTTAGTGCTCTTAATTGGTTCCTGAAAAACTGAGTGTTAATTGAAACAAGTGTTAAGCGAAACCGGAAGTTTTTGATGACCCAAGATGGCAACTGCAAGTGTTTTTAATGACTCAAGATGGTGACTGCAAGCGTTATATCGAAACTTGCTGAGCACTAAGTGGAATCAGGTATCAATTTAAAATGAGCATTATAGCTAAACAGAGCTAAGTGAAACAGCATTAAGCAGGGGTTGCCTGTACAGGAAACAGAAAGAGTTGTTGAAAGCAAGCAGACATCAGTGAGTATTCTTATATCAGTTAGCCATAGGAAAACTATACACCACTGGGAAAGGAAAACAGGAACTTTTACAAATAGGCATGTAATTGTTGCATGTTCTTCAGTACACTGCTTGTTTAAGTGCACTTCTGTGACGGTAAACACTTTTTTAAAAAAAAAGAGCCCACATTCTCCAGAAAGATGCTGCATGATCTGTGAAACCCAAAGCCTTTCCTGAATTGTCTTCTTTAGTGTAACACGTTTATAAGTGAGAAAATAAGTCATTTGAAAGTTGCAGATGAATTCAAATTCTAAAGATGACAAACATTCTCAGTACAGGGGCCAGAGCCTCAGTCTCAGTTCCATGCCCTTTTATACTAATTAAGAGGCTCAAAATCTTGCCATAGCTGAGAATGTCTCCAGCAGGGAGGAATTTTCAACTGGTGCCAAACTGATGGAGCCAGTTAGTACCTCAGTCCCTTTCCCCTGACATAGGGAGCTTGCTGGGGGAGGTGTTGGCTACAGCAAGACAGAGGAGAGTAACAAAGAGGATGGAGTGAAATCCATATGGCAATTCTAGCTGGTATATGGCTCTTTGGTGAACTCTTAAAATGGGGATGTTTGGAAGGTCCCTCCTCCCTGCATCAAAAGTATCTTGACAAAGAAGAGAATTAAGCCAAAGAAAGGATTTTTAAATTCAGTTTGGTTTCCCAGTTCTGCTGCATACTTCTTATGTGACCTATGTTACTTCACTAGGATAAAAATCCAGCATTCAATTTTGCCCATGCCATCTGATTGATTTAAGTGAGATTGCATAAATGAATAATACAGTTCTCCCACCTTGTAGTCCAAGCCATCTGAGCAGTTGAACACAACACACTGAATGGCCAATGCTTTTGCAAGGTCTTTTGTAGTCTCTGTTTTACCAGTTCCAGCAGGCCCAGCAGGGGCTCCACCCAGGTCAAGTTGTAAAGCTCCCATAAGGCAGAGGTAGCAACGATCCTGAGAAGATACATGTGTTATCATCATATGTGATGCACAAACTTCTGTTGCTTCCCACTTACTGCTTTTTCAAATTAAACATTTTATGTGTTCTCTGCCATGCATATAAATACCTTATGTACTATATGACAGCAGATCTCATAGGGCTGGTCATCCACTGGTATAATATGTCATTGCCTCCTGGAACTCTGACAAGTTACACCAGTTGAGAATTTGCCCCAGTGTATTAGATTAGCAGAAAACTGTACATAGTTTCACCATTAAGAATGAGGGCACACGAATGGCCAAATGATCAGCGCACACACAGCCAAATTACAACATTCTTGTCCTAGCAAAACTCTCATCAACCAGTATTATTACATCCCTCATTGTACACTAGCCTGGTTTTCAAGAATGTCAATGTTGTGATCTAGGCTAGTCATCCGCGCAGTTCATGCTGACAGATATTGCTGAACCCTCAACCTAGTAGGACACATGCTCAGATTTGCTGAATATTGAAGGTGACACCTCTGCAGAGGTATGAGTGGACATGGTGGGTATTTTAACTCAAGGTGTAACTGACAGTAACAAGGCCGCTGTCTTTGTATCTATCTGACTTTGTCTATTTTCCCTTTGTAGATGGAACTCACAAAATCTGCATACGCCTGCTTTGGGTATGCATCAAACTAAGAGTATTAAATATCAATACCTACCTAATAGTCCCTCCATTACTAGCATTTCTAAGACAGCAAACTTCTATTTAAATAATGATAAAACTGTAGGAAAATACATACTGTCAGTGGAGTTATCACTAATCTTGGACATGCACCCAGGTATTCGTAGCCATAGATATACTGGGATAAAGCCATCCTAGCAACGCAGTTATCTAGATCCAAGTCCCAGTAATAACGTAGCTGTCTTTGCCATTCAAAACTGTCAACAGAATTCACCTATAAAGATGACATGCAGTGATTTTTTAATAAAGTGATTCAAAGCAGTTAGTTTTGTGTACATATTTATCTAAGCTACTTCAGAAAAAAATAACATTACCTTTTCTGTAACAAGTTCACTAACAATGTCTCTTGCATGTACATCAATAGTTATCAGTGCTGTTACTATATTTCTGTGTAATTTAGGAAGACTACCACGGACTAATCCTGCCAGTGCATTTAATCTCTGAAAAACAAAACAAAATGTGCTTAAGTATCTTACTCCTGTGCTTAAAAATTATTAAAAGAAATGGTCAGAGCTTCAGCTGGTACAAATTAGTATAGCCGGGGATATATTTTGGAGCTAAGAATTGCAAGTTGAAGCAAAACGATATATACCTAGAGAAAATGTAGTTATTTAGAATATGGTTATTTTACACCTAAGAATCATTAAAATAAAGCTTGCTTACATTTTTTATGAATCTGATTGTTTTCAAATGGTTGTGAATACAAACAAAACAAAAGATATGAATTTACCAACTCTAAAATACAGAAAAAGGCATTTGAAGAAATGACAGGGGGGAAAAAATCAACACACACTGTTGATTCGGAAGCTGAATACTCTATTTCCTAAATATTGTCTTTGTTGGGGAGCTAAATGTTATCCAATATCAACTGGAAAATATTGGTATTAAGTGTTTTGCCACCACCCTAAGAATTCCTCTTCCTGCTTTTGGCTAGCCTCTACCCCACATTTTAAACACTGTCCTTCTACCAGCCATGCTCTGAACCAGACATGCACCCCTAGCTGCATGGTCACAAGGTTTATTAGAGTAATGCTGGCAGTTAGATATACTTGACTGCAATATCCTCAAGCCAAACAGACCAATAAATAAATCCACAGACCCAGTAAATAAATACCCATATCCTTAGGCACCCCTCTGTGCTTCTTTGCCTTCCATAAGCTTTGTTTGGAACTAGATTCCAAAGCACTGGAAAGGTGGGATTGATGAAAGAAATATGAGGGACTTCAATCACTCTGGCTTGTCAGGCCAGGTCTCTCATGTAAAGCAGACCAGCCTATTCCATGGTCGGGTTGTCAGTGACTAAACTGGCACCCCCCCACCTGGGCTAGCCTAGGTGTGTGGACACCCAGCAGGACTAAAAACAAGACCTGTCAAAGGGCAGATGAGGTCACTGTGAGCCAACAGCCATCCATACCTGGAGAGGAGATGAGCACTGCCAGGTCAACCTACTCAAAAAAATCACCAGTGATGCAAAGCAATTCAAATAACCTATACTACCAACACTCAGGAGAAAACTGAACTCCTGAATGACTACTTTGCTTCATTATTTCACTGGACTAAGGAGGAAATCATACTAGATAAGGCTCAGAATGGGCATAGTATGAATGACTGCCTTCGTACTATTGATGTTGAGCTGGTGTGTGATCAGTTAGAAAAGTTAGACATTTATTAGTCAGCAGGACCAGATGAACTTCATCCGAGAGTGCTGAAGGAGCTGGCCAAAGTCATCGCGGGACTTCTGGAGAAACTCTTACAAAACTCGTGGTGCTTGGGAGAGGTTCTTGAAGACTGGAAGAGGGCCAGTGTTGTGTCCATCTTCAAGATGAGGAGGAGAGAGGAACCAGGCAACTATAGGCCAATTAGACTAACTTCTAATTGGGAAAATCCTGGAAAAATTCATCAAGGAGTCTATGTGTGATAAGCTTGCAAAAGGTAGGATTCAGAACTACAGCCATCATGGCTTCAGTTCAGGCAGGTCTTGTCTGACCAATCTCATCTCCTTCTACAACCAGGTAACTTGCCACCTGGATAACAGAAAGGTCAACATTGTATACCTAGACTTCCAAAAGTCCTTTGATCTGGTATCCCATGATGTTCTCATGGGAAAATTGGAGGATTAGAGGCTTAACTGCTCAACAGTTAGGTGGATAGGAAGTTGGTTGTGGGGTAGGACCCAGAGAGTCCTAGTGAATGGACCTGTGTCATCCTGGTGAGAAGTGGCCAGTGGTATCCCTCAGGGGTCTGTGCTCAGTCCAGTGTTTTTCAACATCTTTATCAATGATTTGGATGTGGGGGTGAAGAGCTCACTGGCCAAGTTCGCGGATTATACCAAATTACGGGGGAGTGTGGTTACATTTGAAAATAGGCTGCAGATACAGGAAGACCTAGACAGGCTGGTCAGTTGGGTGGATCGGAACCAGATGAAGTTCAACGTTGAGAAGTATAAAAAGTGCTCCATCTGGGGATGAACAATCCCCAACATGCTTACAGGCTTGGTGGTGCCAAACTGAGTAGCACGATGACTGAAAGGGATCTATGAGTAATAATAAACTATAGTATGAACATGAGCCATCAGTGTGATGCTGTAGTCAGCAGGGCAAACAATACTCTGGCATGTATCAACCAATGCATCTCGAGTAAAACCAAGGAGATTGCAAGCAGTACTCTTGTATTCCTCCCTACTCATTTGTACAAGTTTCCACTTCTTGTAAACTTCTGTTTAGACTTTAGCTCATTGAAGAGTTCTCTGCTAAGCCAAGCTGGTCTTCTGCCATACTTGCTAAGTAGTCTTCCTACTCATCGGGAATGGTTAATTTCTGTGCCATCACTACAATTTCTTTAAAGTACAGCTCCTATTTCTGGAGGAACCTCCCATTCCATCAGCATTTTTCTGACAATCAAGGTGTGGCAGGAGAGTGGGAGTGAGACCCACCCGAGGGTTAAGAGGCTCCAAGTGCCTGGTGGGGTGCAAAACCAGTGGGCCAATAGTGAGGCAAGCACCATGGGCATTGTAACATTCCAGGCCTGTGACCTCGCCACTGACCCCTCCTTGGGACAGCCTTCTATGACATGACTGACTCTGTGGATGCAGGGAGACTATATACAAGATTCCTTCTAAGCTGCGTGTATGCGCAGCCACGCACAATAAAAAAAATCTTGCCACGCAGTAACTTTTTAATGCTGTGTACCTGCCTGGAAAGGAGCTGGGCTGCAACTTCTTGTAAACTTTGGGTGCAGAGCATGATGGAGGCACCAGGACCGGTGCAGGACACTTACCAGTGGTAAGTTACCACTCGGCTGCACGGGGGCCACTCCACTCTGCTCCTCGCTCCTCACCGCGCCGGCATCCCCATGGGGAGGGAAAGCAGCACAGGGCAGGCGGCGGCTCCTCCCTGAGGCAAGGCAGACGCGAGGGCTGGGGCTCTGACAGCTCTGGGGAACTGCTCCCCTCCCCAGCCCCTGTGGGTGAACTTTGTCCTGAGCCCTGATGCCATGTGTCTCTCTGGCCTGGGGCAGTTGGAGGAATGGAGAACCTGCCATGTGAGAGGAGATTGGTGGATCATAGCCCCAGGCTTCAGGGCTTCTGCTGGTCACCTGAAGGAGCAAGGAAGAGCTTGCCCCTCTCAACTTTAAGCTGTGGACATTGGCCACGGCCAAAGGTGGGAAATGGGCTGGGAGAGGGGGTGCTGGTGCCCCCAGAGGTATTGAGAGACCTTCCAGGTGCAAGGACTCTGGGGGCTTTGCCTGCCTCTAGCATGAGGCATGGTCAGCTGTCTAGGTCTGTTTGAACACATCTTGCCCAAGAAACGCCCTGCCACTGCCATGGCAAAGGTCTTGGTGCTCCCATTGTGTGTCCTGCTCCCATTCTGTGGCCCACAGTGGGGTTTTGGGTCAAGGGCTGCCTTGGATCTACAGTGTGTGAAAGGGGCTGGAGTGGATGTTGTGGACTCCTTTGCACAGTAATCTGCCAGCATGTGCAGAGGCCCTGCCTGGGATTTCCCAGCAGGTCCCTTCTAGTCTTATGCTCCTGAATGCAGGCATTCCCCTGGTGTGCGCCAAAATGGGGAGGCAGGACCAATTTGGGAACAGATTGAAGCGGCACACTCACGGCCCAAAGCAGCATGCTCATGGATTGCTACACCTTAGAGGGAACATTGGTGATATACGCTGAATTTAGCAAGGCTTTTGCTACCATCTCCCACATTCTCACAGGCAAGCTAAGGAAATACGGGCTGGATGAATGAACTGTAAGGTGGAGAGAAAACTGACTGGGTTATTGTGCTGAAAAGGGTAATAATCAGTGGCTCAATGTCTAGTTGGCAGTTGGTATCAAGTGGAGTGTCTCAGGGGTCAGTCCTGGGGCCAGTTTTGGTCAACATCTTCATCAACGATCTGGAAGATGGGATGAAGCACATCTGCAGCAAGTTTGTGGATGACACCAACCTGGGTAGAGTAGCATATGTGCTGGAGGGTAGGGCTAGGATTCAGAGAGACCTCAACAAATTGAAGGATTGGACCAAAAGAAATCTCATGAAGTTCAATAAGAACAATGCAAAGTGCTCACAATCCTACTCATTGGTACAGACTGAGGACTGACTGGCTAGGGAGCAGCTCTGCAGAAAAGAACATGGGAATTACAATGGACAATAAGCCAAATATGAGCCAACAGTATGCCATTGTTTTGAAGAAGGTTAACAGCATACTGGGCTGTGGTAGTTTGAGTGTTGCCAGCATGATCAAGGGAAGTGATTCTTCCTCTCTATTTGCAGGTGTGAGACCACAGTTGGAGTACTGTGTCCAGTTTTGGACACCCCATTACATAAAGAATGTGGATACATTGGAGAGTCTAGTGGAGGGCAACAAAAATGGTTAGAGGGCTGAGAAACATGACTGAAGAGGAGAGGCTGAGGGAACTGGGCTTATTTAGCCTGAAGAAGAAAAGGCTGATGGGGGATTTAATAGCAGCCTTCAACTACCTAAAGAGTAGTTACAAAGAAGATGGAGCTAGACTGCTCTTTGTGGTGGCAAATAACAGAACAAAGAGCAATGATCTCAAGTTGCAGCAAGGGAAGTTGAAGTTAGATATTAGGGAACACTCTCTCACTAGGAGGGTAGTAAAGCAATGGAACAGGTTACGTGAGAAGTTGTGGAATCTCCATCTTTAGAGGTTTTTAAGACCTAGATAGACAAAGCTTTGGCTGGGATGATCTAGTTGGGAATGGTCCTGCTCTGAGCAGGGGGTTAGATTAGATGGTCTCCTGAGGTAGCTTCCAATCCTAATTTTCTAGGATTCTAAATATAGTTAGACAGTAAAGTTCCTTATTGACAGGTTTCTTGCTTCTTTAAGGGCCTTTGCAGGAGATTAACTTGTGTTGACCTTCCTGAGTAAGTGGACTCAGGAACTTTAGTAGATAAATAATGATAGCTGCACCACATTTCCAAACCTTCTTTTGCTCTCGATGCCATTTCTATCAAACCCCATAGAGATTTCAAGTAAGGGTACAATCTAGGTGCCTGCCATTTACACTGCTGCTTCTTGGTAGAGTAAGACTCAGGATGCTTAAATGTGTGGCTATTAGCTAAGTAAAACAGACTGGATAGAGAATCTTACCACTTAGACAAGAAAAATTATCACTTTCCTTGTGAAAATCATTGCTGAACTAATGCTCAAGACTGGCTCAAGCTAGAAAAACATTAAATCCATTTGATGCAAGAAGAGGTTTGTGGAAATAAAAACTCACATCAAAGTTTATTTTCTCAAACTCTGTCAGAGTTTGTAAGCGATCATAATCCTCCCCTTCTAGGCACTGGGTTAGATCACGGCACCACATGAGTTGAGAAACGGTCAGTATAACCTGTAACAAAAACAGCCACGATTCTATTTTAGAAAGGTTTGCAAAGCAAATATTTTGCAAAACAGCAAAAATCCATAAATAATAATCATGGGAGTCATGAAAATAAGTAAAGACAAGGTCCTGCAGGCATACAAATACTTAAACTGAGGTACTCTCACACACATAAAATATATGTAAATGTTGGCAATATCAAAGTTTAAGTAGGTAGGTAGGCAAAAAAAAATCAACACAAATATTAGCATAGCTTACCTGAGATGGGTGTCCAGCAACAACCCATTCCATTCTAACTCTGGCTTGATAATCAGCAATGGCAGCTTTAGTTAGACGTCTAAGAGAAGTGAACATTGCTTCTTCTACTTTACCAAGCCAGTCTTCTACATTCCCTCTGGCTTTGAGTCCCTTCCCTAAACTAACCTACAATAAATTGTTAGATTAATCATGATGGTAACATTTCTGCAGAATTTACACATTAAACTGTAGTATTCAAATTGTAGTATTGCATATGTTTTCTAAGATTAATTAATGGAGCAGCAAAAAAAAATCAGGTCCAATTCACTGGTATATTACTTCACTCTAATTATGTCAAACTAAACCACAAGATCACCCTTCAATATGCCAACCTGGAGGAAAAACTTCTGAAAAACTGTACTAAACTTGCACTATACCTGCGTTACATCAATATTTTTATCATCTGGACTGAACACTTAGATTCACTTACTATTGACTTCCACTACAGGTTTAACAACAATTATTCCTTGACCAAATTTTCTCTGGAATATTCCTAAACTTTCTAGATACCACAATCCACCTCTGGGATGGTACCCTATAAACCACCATACACCAAAAGTCCATGAGCCACCATACTTATGTCCACAGGACCAGCAATCAACCTGAGCACACCAAAAAATCTGTAATCTACAGATACCACCACATCTACTCTGAAAAAAATCTGTGATGCCCATCTGACCAGCCTAAAATTTTCCTTCACATAACAAGGATGTTCTAGTAGAGAAACAGATTATCCAAATACCCTGCAGTAGCAAAACCAAAGGAAACCCCCTTGTGACCCAACACCCTTCATTATCACCAATGGAACCAATCAGAAGAATCAGCAGACAATTACAGCCTACACTTAGGCTCGGCAGGATTCAATTTTTATGAATAAACATCAATAAGTGCAATTTCAACTCACACTCACAGACCAATGGAAAAATATTTCTGTTGGTAATAATTGAAATTTACAGAAAGGAGGCTGTAACAGAAAATCTTTATCCCTGTTACTGGTCAGTAAAGAGAGGGACAGAGGGTGGAGGGGTTAAAGAGGAAAGCAATGGGCCACCTAATGACTTGTCATCAATTAAGCTGCTTGTTCACAGGTGTGGGAAGCCTGGAGGGAAATAACAGACAACTTAAACAACCCTCTACCCAAAGTGTGTGGTGGGGGGAAGAGTATTCAAGGCTCCAGCCTGGTAACAGAAGAGTCCTGCCCAGGCCAGGTTGTCTAAGTGCGGATGGGGAGAGGGACAGGGAACCCAGGGAGGTTGCCACCTCTCCCTGTGTTCCCACAGCTCTGGGCATGCCGCTGCCCTCCTCTTCTGGTCCCTGCCCACCTGGCTTTTTCCAAAGAATAAAGAGAATGATTTAAAACAGGTATGATTTATTGATTTATGGATATTTACTTTTTATATTTTGATGTGATTTTATAAAGCTTTTAACAGTATATTGTCATTACTAAATTGTCTGTCCCCCCGCCCCGCTTAATGTTGTGCAATCCTGAAATTTCTAATTTATAAAAATCAAAATAAATGCTTAAAAATAAACATCAATTTTATCCATCCAAATTATTTTAAAAAAATAAAAATCTAATTCTGCTAAGCCTATCTACACTCAACAAAGATCAGAACTCAAGAGAAATATTCCCAGCCCCTCTACTCCTAGGTTTCACACAATCCCTCAACCTTGCTCAACTCATCATCAGAAACACACTTCCCACTGCCCAACGAACATGAACTGGGATGCAGCCTTGCCTCATCAAGAAATGCTTAACCTGTCAACACATCTCCACTGCTAATACAAACAAAATCCCCCATAACAAAATCAGTCAGAATGCATGGTTCCTACACATGCCTTTCTCAAAATGTGATATAGTTGATCCAACACACCAAATACCCTCATGGCAACTACGTGGGTGAAACTAAATAGCAAGTACACATCAGAATAAACTCCCACAGAAAAAATATAAAAGACAGAGACACACATATACCATTATTTGAATTTGAATTAGGAGCACATTTCTCACAGAACAACCACTCCCTCTCAGACCTTACAATCCTCCTTTTAGTAGGCCTTGATTTCCAGTTATCAGCTTCTCTTCTGCTAATTGTAACTCTGCTACCCCTGGGAATTTTTCTTCCACACCCCTTACAACTGTTTTTGTTTGGTATCTTTCACTGTGCTGTGTTAGCTCTCACTGCTCAGACCTGATGAAGAATGTCTTGTATTCAAAAGCTTGTTTAAGTTTATCCCCTTTCTTTCTCCTTTATGGTAACCCTTCAAGTATTTGAAACTTTAAGTTTATCCCAACTATGCAGGTAGTCCAATAAAAGATAGCACCCTAAGAAATCCTGCCTCTTTCAAACTAACCTCTAGAAAAATAGAGCTATACCCATCATAAACTGGTGAACTGGGCCTGTTCTGTATTTTATTCATCTATAACAGTTGTGTTCTTAACTTTTCCTTCTAGGTATTTGGAAAACATATATTTATTAAAAACACAAAAAGATCAATAAAAAGAAATGCTTACCCTTTCCCCCTCTGGGGACAACATTGCTAAAATATCATTAGTAAAAACCTTTTCCTGTTCTCCCTCTGCTGGCATCATCAGGGCAAACTCTAGCTTAATGATTGAATCAAAGCATTTCCTTAAATGAGGCTGAACGGCTTGAGGATTGCGAGTCTGGGCCAAAATTTCCAGGAGCTCATCATTTGATAAAAAGTAAAATCTGTGCAATACAATAAACAGTATTCACGACTTCAGATATAAAATGCTTCAAAAGAAAAAGGAAACATTTTTGTTGTTTAAAATACCAGAATTAAGCATGATAATATAATGCAAATTATAATGGATAGCATAGTTATGTTTATTTGCATTAGTATCATAGCATACAACATTCAATACTCATCTTTTCTCTATTGATGTCAATCAGCAGACTGCATAGATTGTTTGCTATCACTTTTTACTAACCTGGGGAAGATAACTCTCTTGGACTCCAAATAAGCCTCTAGACACTTCTGAATTTGATCAAGTAGTCCATTGTTATTCTGGAAAGTCTCTAAGAGACCTATCAAAAATTAAAAAGTACTTGAGAAACTAGGGTAGAAAGTATGAAAAAACATCAAACGATCTCCACCGTGTTTAAAAATGCAAGGACAATTCTTCATTTTTATGAGTTATGGGTGAAACATTTTCATCAGACAAATGTTGTTATACATTAACAAGTTCAGAGTGCACATAGGGCTGGGCAAGGAATTAGTCTATAAAATCAGGTCACAAGCACAATTACAGTTGTCACCCACTGCAAATATTTTTAATGTAATGCTCTATGGGCAAACCTGTTTATCACCCATACAATGTTTAAATAAGCAAACAGAGGGCCCTGTGCTAGGGCTGGAGGTGAGAGAAATCATCCTCCAGAATAAAGCCAGAGCTGGGGACAGCCAATGACCTGCTTTCAGACCACTTTTATAACCCCTGGGATGTAATAATGGCTATGATCTGCCCATACACAAGAATGACTTGGTGGCCATACCCAAGGGCTTATGTTATGTCCCTTTGTGTTACCAGGGAAGAAGTTAGGCAACTGTGGTGTCGACACCTACACAGTCAGATGGGTCACAAATTGGCTGGAGGGTCGCACCCAGAGTGGTGGTGGACTGGTCATTTTTGACCTGGAGGGATGTGGGCAGTGGGGATCCCCAGGGCTCAGTCCTAGGGCCTGCACTCTTCAACATCTTCATTGGCGATTTGGATAAGGGGGTGAAAAGCGCCTTGTTCAAGTTTGCAGATGACACTAACATGTGGGGAGAAGTGAGCATGCTAGAAAAGAGGGACAGCCTACAACTAGATCTCGACAGGTTACAGAGGTGGGCAGATGAGAATAACATGGGTTTCAATATGGACAAGTGCAAGGCGTTGCACCTGGGGAGGAAGAACCAGCAGCATACCTACAGGCTAGGGAACTCCCTTCTTGTCATCACAGAGGCAGAAAAGGATCTTGGTGTCACTACTGATTCCAAGATGAATATGGGCCACCAATGTAGGGATGCGGTCAGGAAGGCTAACCATACCTTTTCATGCATCCATAGATGCATCACGAGCAGGTCCAAGGAGGTGAGCCTCCCCCTCTATGCAACATTGGTCAGGCCTCAGTTGGAGTACTGCATCCAGTTCTGGGCGCTACACGTCAGGAGGGATGTGGACAGCATCAAGAGGGTCCAGAGGAGGGCCACTCACATGATCAGGGGGCAACAGGGCAGGCCCCATGAGGAGAGACTACAGGACCTGAACCTGCTCAGCCTCCACAAGAAAACGCTGAGAGGGGATCTAGTGGCTGTCTATAAACTTACCAAGGGGGACCAGCAGGCAATGGGAGAGTCCCTGTTCCCCCGAGCACTACCAGGAGTAACAAGGAACAACGGCCATGAGTTGACAGAGAGTAGATTCAGGCTAGATATCAGGAGGCACTACTTCACAGTCAGGGCAGCTAGGAGATGGAGCCAACTTCCAAGGGAAGTGGTGCTTGCCCCTACCCTGGGGGTCTTCAAAAGGAGGCTGGACAGCCGCCTAGCTGGGGTCATTTGACCCCAGTATCCCTTCCTGCCCATGGCAGGAGGTCAGACTTGATAATCTGCTTAGGTCCCTTCCGACCCTAACAACTATGAAACTATGAAATTATGAAGTTAAGATAGAACTGTATTCGCTGGTGTGTAGAGGTTGTAAGAGATCCACAGCTCAGGCTCTTAACATTCAAAAAGTGTCTATTTCTTTTTTCCTTAAAATACAGTAGATGTAGTAGATAACCAGTAGATTAAGCTGACACACCATTGGGAATGAAGTGATGTAATAGCCAAAGAAAAATAAAAGTGAGTTCTACTGGACTGAAACTGCAGAAAGGTTTTCAGTGTTGTAAAAAGTACTGTCAATCAAAAAATTCGCCTACCCTGCAAATGAGCTAGTGCCAAGGATTATGTAGCACTTGGATCCTGATGCTTAAAATGGGGAAACACTGAGCCTGATTCTTGTGATGTTATTTACACCACTTCAGGCCGAAATGGTAATGTTTTCAGCCACTCTGCATTCATTTTATTCCTACATGTATTCATAAGAACAAGTCCTTAATAAACGCTTTACAAGTTAGATAGAAGTTGCAAATAGAAGAAAAGGTGAGGGGAACTGATTGACTTATATGAGGGAAGAGTTTGTAAGACAAAAAATATAGGGCAAGAAGCAGTGCTGCCCAAGGTTTTTAAAAACAGAATATAGCAACTGTAAATATTAAAGGCCAAAATATTATTTGGCAGTATTGGGCAAAGCAAAAGCAGGTGAAGGTTTTTAGAGTTATTATGAAGCAGCCTTAAAATGAGAAGAAAATATAGTGGATGAATCTTTAGATTAAACATCTTTATAACATTTTACCTTTAAGTCGAGGTGCACCGATACATCGGTCCAATATTGGATCAGTACCAGTATGAAGAAAATTGTCTATATCGGATATTGGCATTATGGGGCCAATAAATGCCCATGCTGTGCGCAGCTACAGCACAGCACGGATCAGAACCGGCTGTGTGGTGAGCTGCCTCCAGCTGGTAAGTTGGAAGCAGTGTGGGGGTGGGGCACAGCCCCGGCTTTTCTCAGCACTTGGGTGGAAGCAGGGCATTCAACTGGGCCCAGCCCTCGGCGAGAAAAGCCCTGCACAGCACAGGCTCCAACTTCACACTGCAGCGCAGCTCGCCCCACCCCCTGCCTCTGCCCTCCTGGGGTGCAAGCAGCAGCAGGAGCTACTCCTACCCCATGAGCCGCAGCTCCGTCCCATGCACAGCCCCCTGCCCCAGCTGGGCAGCGTCTGCCACTGCCCCATCCCTCCCCACAGGGGGTGTTGGTCTGCCCCCCCATGCCTCTTCCCTTCCCCTCCCCTTCCACCATACCGGACTGACCACCTGGAGACAGCTGTATCGGATGTCGGATTGCTATCAGTTGATATGCCTCCTTAAATATCAGCTATCGGTATCACCCCCCAGAATCTCTATTGGTGCACTCCTAGCTTTAAGGCTTTTTATTTCCTTTTTTTCTTTTTCTTTTTTTTCTGTTCATAGAGTCATAGAGAAGTGGGGCTAGAAGGGACCTCCAGAAGCCATCCAGTCCAACCCCCTGCCTGTGACAGGAACACGCATATCCAAACCATAATCTAAACTACATAAGACTACCAGCAAACCTAACACAATACAGACTTAAGAACCTAACCTGCCCCAGGTAAAGTAGGGGAACCATGGCAGCCAATGTCATGCTTCTATAAAGTGTTGTTAATGTACACTCAAGAGGTCCTGGATAGAGGACCATGCTCCCTGCAACAGAGGAAGACAACCCCCCCCACAGTCCATAGCAATCTGACCATGGGGTAAAATTCCTTCCTGATCCCAAATACAACAATTGATCTGACCCTGAGCGGAGGTGCAAGTCCCGTTAGATAGGAACCTCTGGCTTTGGTTCCAGCAGGAGCACTGGCGTACCTCAGTCAACGTCTGTAGCCAACACTCAATGCCTCTGGGAAGGCTTAAAAACACCCTGGTACATGTAGCAGAAAGGGGAGAGCAACCCACAAAACCCAGAAGCATGGGAAATACCCATGGTAGAACATAGGCATAGCTATCCCTCTATCATCCCCGACCAGTGGCTGTCTAACCTCTTTCTGAACACTTCCAGTGACAGAGTCTACAACTTTCCTAAGCAGCTATTCTTCTGCCTCACTGTTCTACCAGCGAAGTTTTTCTGGGTATCCAATCTAAACTTACTTTGCTGCAATTTCAAGCCATTGGTCCACGTCCTCCTCTCTGCAGCAAGAGAAACAAGGTGCTTTCTTTCTCCTTTATGGTAACCCTTCAAGTATTTGAAGACTGCTATTGCATCCGTTCTTAGGTGCCTCTTCCACAAGCTGAACGTGCCTAGCTCCTTTAGCCTCTCCTCATATGACTTGCTTTCCAAACCTTTAATCATCTTTGTTGCCCACCTCTGGACCCTCTCTAACTTCTCCATGTCATTTTTAAAATGTGGAGCCCAGAACTGCATACAGTACTCCAGATGAGGCCTAACCAGTGCTGAATAGAGGGCCATTATCACCTCCCATGTCTTGCTCCTAATACTTCTATTGATGTAGCTCAAAACCACATTCACCTTTTGTAAGGCTGTATCACACTGAAAACTTATGTTGAGCCTGTGGTCTACCAAGGCTCCCAAATCCTCATCCACAGAGCTGTTATTCAGCCAGGCATCACCCATTTCATATTTGTGTTTTCAATTATTCCTCCCAAGGTGTAGCACCTGGCATTTGCACTGAACTTCATCCTGCTAACTCTACCCTACCTTTCTAATCTCTTAAAATCTTCCTGGATTGTGCTTACATCCTCCAATATGTTTGCAATCCTTCCCAGTTTTGTGTCATCTGCAAACTTGCTCAAGAAGCTGTCTATGCCAGCATTCAAATTAATAAACACATTGAACAGCACTGAGCCCAGGACAGACCCCTATGGAACTCCATTTAAACTACCTGCCATTCTGACATGGGCCCATTAATAATGACCCCTTGGCTCATGGCTATTGAGCCAATTATCTATCCACCTTATAGCAGTTTTATCCAACCCATATTTGTCCAATTTGTTTATGAGCAGGTTGTCCGGGACCTTGTTAAAACCCTCACTGAAGTCCATATATACTATATTTACAAAATTCACTTCATCCACCCAAGTAGTTACTTTGTCAAAGGAGGAGATCAGGATTGTCTAACATTTTTTTCCCCCATAAATCCATGCTGGCTATTTGTGACCATCCTTTGCTCCTCCAGACGCTTGCAAATGGCCTTCCTTAGGATATGTTCCAGTAACTTCCCAGGTATTGAGGTGAGGCTAACCAGGCTGTAGTTCCCTGGGTCTTCCTTCTTACCTTTTTTAAAGCAGAGCACTACACTGGCCCTTTTCCAGTCCTCTAGTACCCAGCCCATCTCCCATGCCTTCATGAAGATCATAGCTAAGGGCTCTGTAATCTCCTCTGCCAGTTCCGTTAGGACCCTGGAATGAAGTTCATCTGGCTCTGCTGAGTTGAATTCATTCAGACCCAATAAAAGCCATCTGAGCACCTCTTTTATTATCTCCTCCCTCAGTTTGTCACTTTCCTTCTCCACGTTATACCTATTAGGTGCCTGGTTGCAGTTTAATTTTTTTGTGAAGACAGAAGCAAAGTAGCTGTTGAGTAGCTTTTTCTTCTTTACATCTTCAGCTAGGAGTTCTCCCTGGCTTGTTAACAGAGGACCCACAGCTTCCTTGGTTTTTCTCTTCTGGCCAACATACTTTTAAAACCTCTTCTTATTGACCTTAACCTCCTTTGCCAAGTGCAGCTTGTTCTTTATCTTTGCCTTCCTGATTTTTATATTGTTTTGCTTATGAGTTGACGCCACATTTTTAGGTTCAGTTTTCGGTGGGGGAAGGAAAGCTTTGTCTCTGAATGTAAGGCAATAACTACAAATAAAAATCCTTGAACTTACAAATCCTTGAACTTCTTGCACTTACAAAATCCCACAACATATCAAATAATTGAGGAAAGGATCCAAAGGGTTCACAGATTCATAGACTATAAGGCTGGAAGGGACCTTGGAAGATCATCAGGTTCAGCCCCCTGCACCAAGCAGGAAAGATAACTGGGGTCAGGTGACCCCAGCAAGATAACTGTCTAGTCTCCTCTTAAAGATTTCCAGGGTAGGCGATTGCACCACCTGTGGAGGGAGCTTATTCCACAGTCTGCACACCCTGACTGTGAAGAAGTTTTTCCTAATGTTGAGCTTAATCGATGTTCCAGGAGTTTGTGGCCATTACTCCTGGTTTTCCCCTCAGGTGCCCTGGTGAACAGCTGCTCACTGAGCCCTTGATGTACTCCCCTAGTGTAGCAATAAGCTGCTACTAGGTCCCCTCTCAGCCTTCTTTTGCTCAGGCTAAAGAGTCCCAGATCCCTCAGCCTTTCCTCATATGGCTTGCCTTTTAAGACTCTGATCATACAGGTGGCTCTTCTTTGGACTCTCTCAAGCTTGTCCACATCCGTGTTAAAGTGTGGTGCCCAGAACTGGATGCAGTACTCCAGCTGTGGTCTCACCGATGCTGAACAGAGTGGAAGAATCACCTCCTTGGTTTTGCTGGAGATGTATTGATTGATGTATGCTAGAGTATTATTTGTCCTACTAGCTATAGCATCGCACTACCGGCTCATATTCATACTGTGGTCTATTATTACCCCCAGGTCCCTTTCATTCATGATGCTAGTCAGTTTGGTGCTGCCAAGCCTGTAGGTGTGTTGGGGGTTGCTCGTCCCAAGGTGGAGCACTTTACATTCTCAATGGTGAACTTCATCAGGTTCCGATCCGCCCAATTTGCTAGCCTGTCTAGGTCCAACTGTAACTGCAGCCTATCTTCAAACGTGACCACGCTTCCCCATAACTTGGTGTTGTCTGCAGACTTGGCCAGTGAGCTCTTCACTCCCACATCCAAATGGTTAATAAAGATGTTGAAGAGTACTGGACTGAGCAACGACCCCTGCAGGACACTGCTGCCCACTTCTCACCAGGATGATGCAAATCTGTTCATACGACTTTCTGGGTCCTATCCTGCAGCCAGTTTCTCATCCACCGATCTTGGAATTAAGCCCACAATCCTCCAATTTTCTCGCAAGGACATCATGGGATACTAGGTCAAAGGCCTTTTGGAAGTCAAGGTATACAATGTCAACCTGCTCTCTTGTGTCCAGGTGGCGAGTTACCTGGTCATAGGAGATGAGGTTGGTAAGGCAAGACCTGTCTGCAATGAAGCCAAGCTGGCCGTCATTCATAATCTTACCTTCTGCAAGCTTATCGCAGATAGACTCCTTGATGAACTTTTCTAAGATTTTCCCTAGGATGGAAGTTAGGCTGACTGGCCTATAGTTACCCGGGTCTTCCCTTCTGCCCTTCTTGTGGATGGCCACAACAGTGACCCTCTTCCAGTGCTCAGGGACTTCTCCAGAGTGCCACAAAGTTAAATGCACACACACACACACACACACACACACACTTATATTTTTAAAGTATCCTCTGTACCAAATAAAATTTTGCCCAAGGCTCACTATATTGTCTTCAGCCTAAAAAATGTTAATATAGATCAGGACAAATATTTTTAGTTCAGTGAAAACTATTTACAGGCTTATAGAGGGTGACTTCATTATTAAATTATCAGATTTGAACTGTAGTCAGAGATTCAGACTTCATGTAACATGGGAGAGCCAAAACCTTGGATCCAAATAGCCTGGGTTCAAAATCTTCTATGTTTTTGAGAGATGTGGGGAAAAAAGAAAGTGAGTAATTATATTTACACTACTGTGTCAACTCAGATTAGATCTCCCCTAAAAGTGTGAGAAAGTATATTCAACTAATTTGTACTATGGAAGAATTAAACTCGTTGTCCTTTAAATATTTTAAAGCTAACCTTACAGAATTTTAGTTTAGTGCTGAAAATTTCACAATCCCCAATAATTCCAAATAATAAATGCAAAATCCACTGTAAACCAAAAACCAACAAAACATTAAAAACCTTCTTTAACTTCTTTAAATATCCACCCTTCTAAACTGCTTCCAACTCTGCCTGGTTTCCTGTCAGTTCAGTAAATGGGCTCTTTCTGGGCTCTGTGGCTCCAATGATTATCTGTTGCATGGGCTGTCCCAAAATCTTCCACAGTCCCAGCTCCATGATGTGGACCCACAGGTCAGGAACCCTCAATTTACCATTGGGCTTAGGGCTTCTGATCTCCAACTTTCAGGAAGGTGAACTACTGCCTGTCTTCCACTGCAGCAGAGATCAAGGAGTTGTCTGGTACTGCAGAGCAGTAGCCATCTGGGTCATCCAGTCATTGTGGCCCTTTCCCACATAAACTGATCCTGCAACTTTGCTGCCACCATACTAGAGCAGACAACACTGTGCAGCAACCTTAAAGGACTAGACAATGTGGACTAGCCATATGCTCCACCCCACTTAACTGTGCTGCCCAGAGTCATCTGAGGGCTAGATGATCCTGCACTGCACCCTTTTAAAAATATATATATTTTTAGCCTCACTGCTTTAAGTCTTAAAGGGTTCAAAAATAAAAGTTTGATCTGAGCCAATCCTATCTGAACTAAGTAAGAGGACTGTCATGTAAATTCTTAATTAAGAATAAAAGAGAAAAATAATCAAATTAGCAACAGCAGAAAACTAGTAGCATAACTAGGGTGGGGTGACTGGAGCAGCTGCCAGAAGTGCTGACTTGAGTGGAGGCAAAAAATAACTGCAGCTACTTCAGTCACACAATTACACCAATAGCGCAACTGCAGCTGGAATTTGCCACTGTCCATAGGATGCAGCTGCCCCTGGCTTCTGGCTGTGTTGTTACATCTGTATAGAAAACATAACATGGAAAAGAAAGAGATACAAAGGAATGCAAGGTGAGAAGAAAAAGGAGCCAAGACACTGAATATATACCTTGAGTTGGAAGAAAAGAAGAATGGGGTGAAGCTAGGATGAGAGGGAAGTTTTAACGAGAGGAAACAAAGTACCAAAAGTGTCATCCTGGATACATACTGTTCAGAAAGTTGACTGAAAATAGAGATATAAAACAGGACACAGCTATCTTATTCCTTTGCGCTGCAGGGAGTTGCCTTCAGGAAAGAAAAAGCATGTCTATTTTTTATCCCACTAACAGGCTTATCGTCAGGTTTGTCAATGTTGAATTGGGATTAACACAATCTACAATTTATTACATTGGAATAATGCATCATTATTTTATACCAGGTTGAGTAGCAGCACGAAGAGCATTTGGCAGACGATTAACTTTTCTCATAATTTCTTTCCAGGATTTATCCACCTGTAAAAACATCTTAGCTTCACCAGGTAGTTGCCTTTGAATATCAGGAGCACTAAAAATACTTTCTAAGTACAGCCAGTTTCTCTGACAATTCAGCCATTCTTCCTAGAAAGAAAGGGAAATTGAACAATTAGCCCTCCACCCTTCCAAAGCAGGTGTTCGCACATATCGACTGCTGACAGAGATGAATAAAACAAACAAAAAAACCCCACGCTACTAAAAGAGGCACCAATTAGTTTGGCCTGGCTCTGCAGCGTCCATCTAGATCATGTGCTTCAGCTGGGCTTTTTGACACTTATCTAATAGCTGATTCAATCAGGCACATGAACAATCTAGGCATATGAACAAGTTAGCACAAGGTATGCTGGGGTCTGAATTTAAAGTGAACATCAAGTACTCCACTGCAGCTCCCCTTACTCTTGCACATTCTTCCTCCACTTTCATGCCATTATGTGATTTTTTTAAATTAGGAAGCGGAAGAAAAATAACCTACTGATTCTAAACATCAATCCTTCATAATATTTCAGATATTCAACTTCCTGAGACTTGATTCAGCAATGTATATTTTACCCCTAGCATCTGGCCAGTGTTGGTTTTACTGTTCCAATCTAAAAACCACACATTCCCACTTCCTTCGATTTCAATATCTCAATTTTTCCCAAATATTTATTCATCCACAAAACTAAAAAATATAGGTCTAAATCATCCCAGCCTTATATATTCATCCCCAAATTAGAAAATGTTCTTATTTGCAGTATTGCAGGGCTGAAGCTTCCCCATACCTCCAAAGTCTGATTTACCCATATGTGAAGGAGTGAGACAGAACGTACAGCATGGAGGGCCGGCAGGGCTGCAGCTCCAGCCCGGAAACAAAGGAAAATACCCACCCAATTTCCGGAGCAGCATCTCGCTCAGAATTAGCGGGGGGAGGCCGCTCAAAGGTATTTCCGGGCCTGGAGAGGGGCAGAGGGGGGTCAGTTCCCTGCAGGCCGCAGGGAGAGAGGAGAAGCTGAGCGTCTTGGCAGGCAGAAACTGCAGAGCCTGCCTAAAGAACCCTGAGGGAGTGACTCTGAGGCAGGGGGACGCCTGAGAACAAGCAGCTAGTGGGAATCTCCTGAGCAGAGCTGCAGCTGAGGATCCAGAGCAAGGAGTTCACCAGGCCAGAGTGAATCCCTGGACTGGAGTTTTGCCAGCGGAGGATCCAGAGGAGGGTCCGAAGGGAAAAAATCTACAGTCACAGGTAGAGCCTTCCTGCATGGGGGAAGAGACTCCGAAAGACTGTGAATGCTCATAGGGGTGCAGGGCAGACTCGCACAGCAGAGAATGGACTAAGGGATTTGTTTTGGGGACATTGCCAGAGCCTGACAAGAAGGCTAAGAAGCAGCTGGAGGCGGGTTTCTGTGATTTCTTTTGTTGTCTTTTAAAAAAATGTTGTTTGAGCACAGGCCCCTGGAAGTGTGCGCCCAAATGGGTGCAGAGAAGGTTACAACAGGCAGCACTGCAACCTGGCTGTGGAAGAACATCGTAAATCACCATCTGGAGAGGTTAGGCTGAGGTAAAGGGGAGGTTTGGAGCCCCACAGAAGACATAGGGATCAAGACCAGGCAGGATCACTGTGGGCATTGCCTCCCGGGAATATAAAGGTCATCAAAGTCGTGGCAGGTGAGAAAGAAGTAACATCCACTTCCTGGCAGACCTGATGATCCAGAGCCAAGGTCTACCCTGTCACCACTTGTAGGCAGATGAGCACAGGGCAGTACTAGCAAGCCCTATAATACCTACAGATGTCACATTGGTGCATTGGCCAGGAAAGCAGAACCCACCACAGGGGTAAAGATGGAGTTTGAACCATCAGTAGGAGGCACTGCAGGCACAGAGGTCATGCAACAGACTTTGGGCCTGGTTGTACAATTGTTGCAGCAGCAGCAGGCCAACACACAGATGGCAGTAGATGAGCAGCTGATAAGACAGCAGGAGTTAATGCAACATCCTCTGATAGATTTTTGAGCAGCAGAAATGACAACGGAAGATGACCCCGAAGCATTTTTGGAGAGTTTTGAAAGGGGTACCATGGCAGCAGGATTAAACCCATCAAAATGGGCGGCCAAATTAGGGGTGCTGTTAGTAGGGCAGGCACAGGCGGCATACAGTACATGTCGAGAACAGACACACAGAACTATGAGAAGGTTAAGAAAGAAATCCTACACCGTCTGGACATTACCCTTGAAAGATATAGGCAGATGTTCAGGGCACAGAAGAAGAAGGAGAAGACACCTAGGGCCCTGTTACAAAGATTGACAGACTTATTAAATAGGTGGCTAAAGCCAGTAGTTACATCCTTGGAGTAAGTAATTGATATGATCCTATTAGAACAGTTCCTTACCGATTTAGAGGAAGGCATGCAGAGGTGGGTCAAGTGCCATCGTCCCAAGACCTCTAGAGAGGCTCTGTGGTTGGCAGAGGATTTTGAGTGTGCACAAGGGGAAGGGGTTCTTGAAAAATTGGACAGGCCCAATTATAGTATAAGTGGGAAGATGGGAGAACGCCAGGGAGAGCGCAATAGTAAGGGACTCCCGCAGCCAATAGTGACAGGAGATGCCCCAAGGATCTACCTGTGCCTAAGCATCTCCTGCAAGGTACTGAGGTCTTGATTCAGAAAAACATGCCTGAATTGGACACAGACATAATATTTTGCTTAACCAAAAAAAAAAACCCTTCTTTCTGGGACTGTTTTTAATTTTCATCTTTAAAACGTGCAACTTTCACCAAAAAAGGAGCAAATTTTATCGCTCTATTTTCTATCTGTTCTGACTTGACATGTGTCAAACCCAAAAGTGAAGCCGGGTAGGCTGTGCCTGAGACCCACATTCTTCAGAGCACTGGGGAAAGGTATAAGCTAACCTTGATTGCTTTAGATCAGGGCTTAAATCCTCAACCTTAAACGAGCAAGAGAAATGATAACATAAAACCTGACTCCATGAAGGAAGTTGGGCTACATGGCCCAGTTCCGGCCTTATGATTCTGTGATTCTGCCTCACTCAGCCAGCTTCCACTTACTGGGGGTGGAGTTGGGGGGCAGGAATAATTTCCCTTGCTTCCTTTCTGGGCACCTTGGAATGTGAGAACAAGCCTGATTCTGATTTTCTGATTTGAGTTACACCACTGTAAAGCACTGGGCTGGCCCAAGTATGATCATGATGCAAGATCACAATCAGCCCTCATGGAGGAAATGGGTGTCTAAAATATCTGAACATGCATCTCACTGAGCCATAGTATTAGCTCAACATTCTTGTGTGCTGTATATTTGGAAATGATCCTGTGAAGTGAAGTGAAGCCCCCAAAACTAAGCCTATAACTTCTAGGCTTTGGTTTCAAAAGGGCAAACATTCTCTCAAGCAAATCCCGGGACGTCATTCTCCCCCTGTACTCGGCCTTAGTGAGGCCGCAGCTGGAGTACTGTGTCCAGTTTTGGGCTCCACAATTCAAAAAGGATGTGGAGAAGCTTGAGAGAGTCCAGAGAAGAGCCACGCGCATGATCAGAGGTCAGGGAAGCAGACCCTACGATGACAGGCTGAGAGCCCTGGGGCTCTTTAGCCTGGAAAAGCGCAGGCTCAGGGGTGATCTGATGGCCACCTACAAGTTTATCAGGGGTGACCACCAGCATCTGGGGGAACGTTTGTTCACCAGAGCGCCCCAAGGGATGACGAGGTCGAATGGTCACAAACTACTTCAAGATCGTTTCAGGCTGGACATAAGGAAGAACTTCTTTACTGTCCGAGCCCCCAAGGTCTGGAACAGCCTGCCACCGGAGGTGGTTCAAGCGCCTTCATTGAACACCTTCAAGATGAAACTGGATGCTTATCTTGCTGGGATCCTATGACCCCAGCTGACTTCCTGCCCTTTGGGCGGGGGGCTGGACTCGATGATCTTCCGAGGTCCCTTCCAGTCCTGATGTCTATGAAATCTATGAAGTCTATATATGTGGTGCAAGGGGAAGAATGAGTCCACAGTTGCACAGGAACAAACCTCAGTGGAAAAGATGGATTGTAGCCTGGGGAGAGTAGCAGAGGGACAACGACGAGCTAAGCCATCAGTGTTGGTAGAAGTGGCAGGGTGTGTGGTCCGGGCAATAATAGATACCAGATGTAATCAAACCTTGGTCTGAAAAGGGTTAGCACCTTTGAGTGAAAAGGCAAGGTTGACACCCATATGGATGGTATGTTTGCATGGGCGAGGCTACATGTACCCAAGGATGAAAGTATGGCTCATAATAAGAAGGGTCACGCGGGAATGGCTAGTGGGGATAGTTGATGATCTGTTGTACCCTATGATTGTGGGTCAGGACTGGCCAGAGATATATTAATTGTTGGCAAAGGATCAGGAACAAGCGGGTCCTAGTGAGGGGCTGATAGGCCAGGAAAATGAAGAAGGGTCAGACAGTGAAGATGCTGACCTATGGGATACGAGTGCATTTGCTGGTGGGGCACAATTCCAGGAAGCGCAATGGGAGGAACTGGCATTCCGAGCTGTCTGGGAGTTGGAGATTGCTAAAAGGGATCAACAGATGATATGTCCAGAATTGTGCAACTAACTGCCACAGTGTGAGGTGAGAAAAGGCTTGTTGTATCGGCTTAAAAGGGGGTGGCAAGATGATGAAGTGTTAGCCCAGATTATAGTACCACGGGTTTATATACTGCCATGATTTATTGCGACTGGCCCATGCCCACCCACTGGGAGGGCATCTGGGTAAAGAGAAAACTATAGCCCTGGTGACACAGAGCTTGTTTTGGCTGGGGTGTTACCAAGATGTAGAACAGTTTTGTAATCGATGCCCTGAATGCCAGAGGGTCAGCGTAAAGAAACCCCTAGAGTGCCCTTGCAAGTTATACCCGCAATTTCTGAACCTTTCACTCGTGTAGCCCTGGATGTGATTGGCCCACTCCCCAAAAATGTGGGAGGGCACCAGTTTATATTAGTGCTGATTGATTATGTGACCAGGTATCCTGAGGCAGTGCCCCTAAGGGCAGTCACGAGTTCAAAAGTGGCAGAGGAATTGTTGAATTGGATTTCGAGGGTGGGACTGCCGCAGGAAATCATTACTGACCAGGGAACGAATGTTATGTCCCATGTGATGAGGGGATTGTGCCAGGTATTACACATATGGCACCTGCATAAAGCAATTTACCACCCCCAGACTAATGATCTGGTGGAGCATTTTAACGGGACATTAAAGGCCATGTTGAGGAGGTGCACCCAGGAGGACCCGAGACGGTGGGATATGTTGATCCTGCCGTTGCTGTTTGTGGTTAGAGAAGCACCGCAGGCATCGTTAGGGTATGCACCATTTGAGCTGATGTATGGGCATGTCCCGCGGAGCTTATTAGATGTAGTTCATGAAGAGTGGGAAAAGGAGGGGAATGAAGGACCAGCCACTTCTCAGTACATGATAAACCTCAGAGAACGACTTATGAAGGTGAACCAGGTGGAGGGTGATCACCTGAGGAAGGCTCAAATGAACCAGAAGCAGCAGTATGAAAAAGGGGCCAAGGAAAGAGAGTTTCAGGTGGGGCAGAGGGTATTGGTCCTGTTACCCAGTTCAACTAGCAAATTTCTGACTTGCTGGCAGGGGCCGTTCCAGATCATATGCCAGGTTGGTCCAGTAGATTACAAAGTATTACGGCCAGGACATCAAAGGGATAGGCAGATATTTCATGCTAACCTGCTGAAGTTGTGGCAGGAGCCAGAGGGATTGTTGGCCACCCCTATCCCAGAGAAAGAGGAGTTTGGAAGGGAGTTGGGAAACAAGGGGACAGACAGGTTCAACTTAGAGGCACTAGCTACAGGATCCAGTTTGACAGAGAGGAAACTAAGACAGATGAACCAGGTACTAGAGAAATTTGCCGATGTATTCAGTGAAATCCCAGGGAGAACAAGGGATGAAGTGCATGGAATTAAAACACCAAAAGGGGCTATTGTGCGGGAAAGGTGGAGGAGGATACCACACCACCATTATCAGGCAGTGAAGGAGGAAATAGGAAAGATGCTTCAACAGGGAATAATTAAGCCCTCTAGATGTCCGTGGAGAAGCCCTATAGTGACCGTCTCCAAAAAGGATGGGTCACTCTGCTTGTGTCAGGGTTGACCTAGAAACCCCTATACAAAGCCCCAGCACAAGCAAAAGTCTCTGTTCTGTAACTAATGCTCAATTGCAATGATAAGGAGAAGACAGTCTTAGATAAAGGAGACTTGAAAACAAAAACAGAATTAGTGGAGTAGGGCAAAGAGCTGATTTAAATATTAAGATTCACACCCCTAGGTGGGGAGAAGGTATGCTAATGAAACATACATGTATGTAAATGAGATACATAGCTAAAACACAGGTATAGAGACATGCTCAGTAAAGAACTCCTTGCGTCACTCCCTTATAACCAATTAGCAAACAAGAATGCTTATGAAGGTCCAATACTCCTGTATAAAAGATGCTTAGAATTAAGAATCGGTGTGCTTGTTACGTGAAATTATTCCGCTTGCACCTTGTATTGCTAGCAATAAATCTTCTTTATACTTTCACCCCTGGTATCTTTATTGGCTTTTGCATACCGGGCACGATCCCAGACTTGAGCTGGGGCTCAACACTTGTGTATAGATTTTTGGAAGCTCAGTGCTATCACCCAGTTTGACGCGTTTCCCATGCCTCGGGTTGGGGAGTTGCTAGAAAGGATAGGGCAGTCTGAATTTATCTCCACTTTTGATCTAGCCAAAGGATATTGGCAGATCCCAGTAAGACCAGAAGATCAAGCTAAAACAGCATTTGGAATGCCATGGGGACTCTGAGTTCTATAGAATGCTCTTTGGCCTAAATGGTGCAGTGGCAACTTTTCAAAGGCTGATGGACTGGTTACTGTCCCCGCATCATGAATATGCTACTACTTATATTGATGATATAGTCATATATACCAAGACCTGGGGGCAACATCCAGCAGCGGTCCAAGCGGTTTTACAGGAGTTAAGGTGATCAGGATTGAGGGTAAACCTGAGGAAATGTACATTAGGACAGCGTAAAACAGATTATTTGGGTTTTCACGTAGGGCAAGGACAAATCAAACCCTTAGTAGATAAGGTGGAGGTTATTAAAAGTTATCAGGTCCCTTGAACCAAAAGACAAATGAGAGGTTTTCTCGGCTTAGCTGGGTATTATCAATGATTCATACTGAGATTTGCAGAATTAGCAATCCCACTTACCAACATGATCAAGGGGAAGGGGAATGGCCCCATACGGTGGACAGAGCTACAACAGCAAGCCTTTGAGGCAGTCAAGCAGGCTTTATGTTAGGATGTTATACTACACACCCCGGATTTTGCACTGCCCTTTATCCTTCAGGTAGACGTGTCAGGACAGGTGCTAGGGGCTGTGCTCTCCAAGGGGATTGAGGGGCAGGAAAGACCGATAGCCTATGCCAGTAGGAGATTAAACGACCATGAAAGAAGGTAAGTGGCAGTAGAAAGAGAAAGTGAAATGGGGTGTGGAATACTTTTGGTACTACCTGTTGGGGCAGGAATTCACAGTTATAACAGATCACGCACCAGTTAAATGGCTGAAATCCTCCAAGCAGACAATGCCCGTATAACAAGGTGGGCCTTGGCGTTGCAGCCATTTCAGCTTACAGTTGAATATCGACCAAGTAAAGACAATGTTGTGGCTGATTTCCTTTCTTGTTGCCACTCAAGTGAGTCTCTCGAAACACAGCATGCATCAAGAAAGCAGGCGATGGGCCAAAAACCCCCCATATGAACAAAGAAGAGCACCTGACAGCATTTTAGGAAGGGGACATGTGAAGGAGTGAGACAGAACATACAGCATGGAGGGCTGGCAGGGCTGCAGCTCCAGCCCGGAAATGAAGGAAAATACCCACCCAATTTCCGGAGCAGCATCTCGCTCAGGATTGGCGAAGGGAGGCCGCTCAAAGGTATTTCCAGCCCCGGAGAGGGGCAGAGGGGGGTCAGTTCCCTGCAGGCCGCAGGGAGAGAGAAGCAGCTGAGCGTCTTGGCAGGTAGAAACTGCAGAGCGTGCCTGAAGAACCCTGAGGGAGTGACCCTGAGGCAAGTGGAGGCCTACAAACAAGCAGCTAGTGGGAATCTCGAGCAGAGCTGCAGCTGAGGATCCAGAGCAAGGGAGTTCGCAAGGCCAGAGTGAATCTCTGGACTGGAGTTTTTCCAGCGGAGGATCCAGAGGAGGGTCCGAAGGGAAAAAATATACAGTCACAGGTAGAGCCTTCCTGCACGGGGGGGAGGCCGCGACAGACTGTGGAATTCATAGGGGTGCAGGGCAGGCTCACACAGCAGAGAATGGACTAAGGGATTTGTTTTGGGGACATTGCCAGAGCCTGATAAAAAGGCTGAGAAGCAGCTGGGGGGTGGGGGGGTGGGAGGGTTCTGTGATTTCTTTTGTTGTCTTTTTTTTTAATTTTGTTTGAGCACAGGCAAGACCTGCCCCTGGAAGTGTGTGCCCAAACGAGGCACTAGGACACCCTGGGATGCAGAGAAGCTTACAACAGGCACCACTGCAACCTGGCTGAGGAAGAACATCGTAAAACACCATCTGGAGAGGTTAGGCTGGGGTAAAGGGGAGGTTTGGAGCCCCACAGAAGACACAGGGGTCAAGACCAGGCAGGATCACCGTGGGCGTTGCCTCCCGGGAATATAAAGGTCATCAAAGTTGTGGCAGTCGAGAAAAACGTAAGATCCACTTCCTGGCAGAGCTGGTGATCCAGAGCCAAGGTATGCCAGGCAGACGAGCACTAGCAAGCCCTATAATACCTACAGACGTCACACCATACCACAACTAATCAATTTCAGTGACATGCATACAACCCAGAATACTTCCCAGCAACACACATCTCGTGGGAAATAGCATATATCAAACTTTCCGGGCCAACCTCGCTCTCCATTGCCATAACAGGTCATCATCTTCCTTACTCTCCAAGATGCTTAGTCCTTGTGTCTACCCCTTGCAGCTAAACCTGCCCACTTCTCCTGAGCGCCAGAAAAGACCTGGTATCATAAACTGTAGGGCTGGCAAGTCAGTCAATTGACTGGTCAAATATTGTCAATTGGCCAGTCAATCAAATGCGTATTTTTGACCAGTCAAATATTATAGCAATTTTACAAAAAAACCCTAAATTTTTTGTAGTTTTCTTGACAGAAATATGATGTTTTGATTGTTTTTTGACATATTCGTAATGGAAAATTTGTGTTTTTTCTATATATTGTTTGGACCTATTGGCAATTTTTTAGAATTTTTGAGTGATATTTGACCAGTCAATTACCCAACCCTAATAAATTGTGAACACACTCACTATGGATTTTAGGGTTAATCTGTGCTCACAGCCAACATATGCTGCCTGTTTCTGGAAGCCATATACTTCCCACCTAAGTAACAATTTTATGGTGAAATTTAAACAAATATAAAAATGTCTTGCACTCAAAAGCTTGTCTAATGTTATTCCAATTATATAGTTGGTCCAATAAAAGATACCCCTCTGGGAAATCCTTGCCTCAAACAAACATAAGTTCACCATTATTTGAACTGCTTGTGAAAATCATTGACGCAATATAAATGATTTCCCCTATGACCATAAAATGAATGAAGTCACAATAAAACACACATCATTTCTATCCATGTTGTTTGCAATCTGCTTAATTTGTAGTGGGTTGAGGATGCTCAGTTGATGCTACAGCAAAGCAGCACCTTTTAAAATAAAAATCACAGCAAAGAGTTGGAGCACCTCAGCTTCCCTGTGAGGTTTTTTTTTTTTACTGCAGCTCTATCCCCAACTAGTTTGCAAGATGTCATCTTTGCAGGTTCATAAGGAACCTAACCATGTACAGTAACCTGGCATGACCTTTTTTCAACTAATTTTACTAGATCTTCTTTGAGCTATTTGAACATATTTGGCATTTTAAATAGGCTGGTACTCCACTATGACACTCTTAAAGAGACTCATGCTAAGCCCTCCAAATTATTTTGTAGTTTATTACTCACCAGAGTTTGACTGAATAAAGACAACTGTTTTTGCCATTCATCTACCCGTGCTTTGAGAGGACCCATGTATCTTGAGGAGGCGATAGTTGCTACGGTAATAGTGCTGTCATCAAGCAAGACCTCAAATAAGAAGTAAACAGCCTGTCAGTTATTGTCTAGGGCAGGGCTGTCCAACTAGTAGCCTATAGTCTACATTCAACCCGGAGGGGTTAACCAACAACCCCCAGGCTCCCAGTCCAGGTCCTGCTCCTCCCATCACTATCCTGCAACTGCCACATGGATCTCCAGGGTCCCCTACCCTCCTCTAGCTTCTGCAGTAGACAGGAGGTCACCTGCTGTGCAGCACCACAGGGGGAGGGCCACATGGTACAATGCAACCTGGGGAAAAATAAAGCACGGTGTAGCAGAGGACACCTACCCCTGCTGCTTCAAGTGAGAGAGTGCAGCCCACAGATAGCTTGCTGCAGGGCAGTCACTCTGTTGCCAGGGGAGGCTGGCAGCAGTTAAAAGGAGGTAAAGCAGCAGGCCAGAGCAATAATTAATCAGGGTGGAAAAGGAAACCCTTGAGCCTAGCCTTGAAGACTAGTGGCCCTGACTGTGAAGGAGGAAGGAACTGCAGGATTCCTCCTTGAGGTAAGTACAGTTGAGTTGAGTTGTTTCTAGCATGACAGGTCATTTGGGATGGTTGGGAAGCCAGTCAGGGCACCTGCAAGGCACCCTGTGATAGGAGAAACTAAGACCCAGGG